GGAAGCAGGCTCCCTGCCTGCCTCTCTGCCTACTTGTGATCTCTATCAAATAAATAAATAAAATCTAAAAAAAAAAAAAAAAGAAAAAAGAAAAAAAAGAAATGTGATTGATTTTTATGTGTGCTCTTAAATTCTGCAGTTTTGCTGATCTTGTTTTTATATATTCTTTGGGATTGTCTACATAGACAATTATGGCACCTATTAATAGCAAGAATTTTATTTCTTCCTTTCCAATATGTATGTCTTTTATTTCACACTAAGGTTTTAACAAAGGGCTTTAAAGCCAATCTTTTGCTCATTCTTTTGCGTCGTCTCTTTTTTACTTTTTTAAAGTTTCTGATACTACTGGATTCTGTTAAGACCACAAACAAACAAACAAACAAAACCTTGGAGCAGCTGCCCCACAGTTATTCTCTGAACAATAGGAAATAATTTTGGCTAGGTAAAAACACCAATATTTAAACTAAGACTGGTTTTATTTAATCAAAGAATTATACTTCCTGACAAGGACTTAGGTATAATATTAGGTAAAAACTTAAGTCATAAATTGAAATTAAGGACATGGCTGGTAAAAACTCTTTAAACTGACCAGCTCGTCAGTTATAAAAACAAGCACTATGAAGATTAAGTTAAGCAGGCTTTATATTTCCTATAGCCCCCAGTTCCAGACTACATCTGTTTTCTTTGATACACAAAACCAGAGTTAAAATAGCTCCATTTATCACAGCATGATTGTAGGCAGACAAATCAGCCTGTCTGTTTCCAGATAGTGAAAACAACCGTTATTAATCACAATTACAGGCCAAACCCTCTAAGAGAAACTGCATCAATATTCTCCCAACCGCCAGCCCTTCTACTCTTGAACTCAAAAATGGTACTAAGAATGTCGTGACACTGCCTGAAGGTCAGTAAATAAAGATGACACTATGAGGTCAACTTGAGTTTTAAGTTCAGGATGCAAATTAAGGAAAATCTTTTCTTCACATAAGAAGAAGTGATCTCTCAAAAGCTCTGTCATTAGTTAAGTTTAGCAGGACAATTAAACCTATTCAATTTCAAATTTATCTAGAAAGGTTTCTGTTTTATGAAACTATACTGAACAGTACAGGATATTTGACATTTATAAATTAGATGATTAACTTTAAGCAGGAGGCATTTATGAGAGTAGACATTTTTGTATAGCATATTTTGTAGCCAAGAGTGTGAAGGAAATTTCTTTCATACAGATTATAAGAGAACTTCCTATAGAATGAGACCAACTGCAAGTTACAACTGAAAATATGTTAGGACAATTGTTGTATCATATACCTTAAATGTATGAATGTATCCCTTTCATATAAACTGTAATCCTTTCTTCAGTGGTTAAGAATATAAACCAGAGTTTCCATTTGGAGTTGTCTATTGCTATTTTTTTAAGCCACTGTTTTTTTTTTTTAAGCGCCTACTATATGCATGGCACCTTAGATGCTTTACATATCACATGTAATTCTTATAATAATTTTATTTTAAATTATTATTTTAAATGTATTTATATACAAGGTAGGTACTATTGGTTCTATTTCAGAAGAGAACACCAGCTCAGAGAAGTTATTTCCTTAAGGTCACCAGCTAGTTAAGTGCAAGAACCAGGAGTCAAATACAGATTTGATTCCAATGTCTATGTTCTTTCGCCTTGTTTATAAGCCTCTCAACCTTTTATTTGCTTTAAGACAAAGTTTGAATGGAACCTTATGTACATAATGCATCTATGGAAGAATACTAAAATGGCTGCTGTTATACAGCTGTAGAGAAATGCACATTACTTTACCCTACTTTTCTACTGAATAACTGGCTCTAATATATTTTCTCAGAAATATTATGGAATGAGGTGCCTGGGTGGCTCAGTGGGTTAAGCCTCTGCCTTCAGCTCAGGTCATGATCTCAGGGTCCTGGGATCGAGCCCCCGCATCAGGCTCTCTGCTCAGTGGGGAGCCTGCTTCCCCCTCTCTCTTTGCCTGCCTCTCTGCCTACTTGTGATCTCTCTCTGTCGAATAAATAAATAAAATCTTAAAAAAAAAAAGAAATATTATGGAATAAACTGAGCCTTTTCATCATTAAACATGACCCCATATACAAACAAGGCCTGACCATTAAATATTTGAAGATAAATTAGCAATGAGACTATAGCCATTTTAATACGAATGATTCAAAGCTATTTGCGAATTTGCAAAACTGCTTCAAATTCTGTGAGCACTTGGGCACTCAGCCACTCACTTAACATATTCATTGAGCATCTACTATACAGAAGAGCCAGTAGTCACTGTTCTAGGGACTGGAAAACACAGTGATGAACAAGATAAAGTCAGTAACCTCACTGAACTTATTCAAATGAGGAACACAGAAACTAAACAAAAGAACAGGGAGGAGGATACCCCTAAGAAGCTGACATTTTTTTTTTTTAAAGATTTTATTTATTTATTTGACAGAGAGAGATCACAAGCAGGCAGAGAGGCAGGCAGAGAGAGAGGAGGAAGCACGTTCCCTGCTGAGCAGAGAGCCCGATGCGGGGCTCGATCCCAGGACCCCGAGATCATGACCCGAGCCGAAGGCAGCGGCTTAACCCACTGAGCCACCCAGGCGCCCCAGAAGCTGACATTTTTATCAGAGAACTAAATGATGGGAAAGGAGCCATGAAAATATCTGGGGGAAAAACAAGAGAATGGAAGAACATTAGAAAAAAAAGAAACAGAAAAAGCCTTGCAGGCTTTTAAGATTTAAGGAAATCTGGGGATTTCCCCTTTGCAGGGGAAAGGGGGTTGGTATGTCTGAAGAATAGCAAAAAAGCCAATGTTGCTAGAGTAAAAAAGTAGTAAGAGATGTGGACGTAGAGATAGAAACATTTATATCCTTGAAGGTCCTGATAAGGAGTTTGGATTTTATTTTTAGTGTAAGGAGAAAGCACTGAATTTTGGGAAAAGATTACTCTGGGAGCAACAGAAATGACAGTAAGGGATCAAGAGTGGCAGTAGACAGACCAGCTAACATGCTACTGCAGAAGTCTCAGCAGGAAAAAAGAGTGATTTGAACTAGAATGCCCTGGTGGTGATGCTTTCTGGTAGCTGAGAATCATCAGCATATGTTTAAGTCCTGGGACTGAGGTAATCACCATTGGAGTGAACAGAGAAGAACAAACTGGCTCAGGGAGGAGTCCTGGAGGACACTCCAATACTTAAAAGTTTAGAAGAGGGCAAGCTGGCAAAGGGAAAGCATCTTCATTTTACCAGCACACATGAAATATACTTTGTATTTAGGCTTACCTAGTTTCTTTTTCTAAGCACTAGAGGAAACCAGGTAGTTTAGAGTTTTTTCTATGCAGCTGTAATTTTTGAGCACACAGAAAACAAAAATATGAGAAATACAATAAAAATAAGATTTCTATTTAAATGAGGCAGAATCTTAATAAATTAATACATAATCAAACCTAGCTACATTCAAGTTCAAGTCAATAATTTCTAAAAATAAATCATTTCATCAAACTTGGGAATCTTTAAACAAATAAAGACCTATGGGCCTAGAACCTGAAAATGCAAATAAATTACTGAAGTTTTATTGTAACATGATCTGACCTATATTTATTTTGTTACCTGATACTGACAACATGTTAAAAACCTACAGTCAGGAAGTAAAAAAACAATCTGAAAGTCAAATTGATTTACATGTAAGAGCTCAGAAAACAATAAATGTCTATGATGCAGAAATTAAAATGTTGACTCATTTCCTTTTTAACATCTAAAGCATGGCAAGTAATTAACTTAGTGTCTAAATTAGAGAAATAAGATTTTATACTTTAAAAGAAGAACAGTAATGTTTAATATTTCTTCTGTGGGTTACCGCCACAACTCTAGGCTACCTCAATGACAGACATACAAACTCTCAAGAAATATCAGGTGCCCTCAAATTACGTACTGTTGTGGCTCTCCCCAGCACTTTATCAAACCAATTATTTTTAACAGTAGGAATATTAGAAATTCTACCTCCATGGTGATGCGACAGGCTCCCTCCATTAGCAAGGATTTCTTCTCTAGCAGCTGCCTGTATTTGGAAACAACACAACAAACAGTTGCTACTTAGGTTTCACTTTTCAGGGAAAGAGTAAAACCCAGCTCCCAAAGGAGGCACATACTTCCTGGGTTAAATAACAAACTGGAAGCCTAATTTTCCTTTCTCTGGGGTTAACCACATTTAAGAAACAATTAAAATATGCAGCCTAGCTTTTTTTTTTTTTTTCTAGTTTTTTTTCTTTTTCTAGTGAATGGTCACAATGTCTACAACAGTCACTTCAAGATTCTAGAAAACAAAAAGGAGAAAAATAATCAATTCAGCAGCACTACATTGTTAATAATAAAAAGTTTTATGAAGACAGTCAAGTCCTACTCTGAAGTAAACATCTCATTATACCAACAAATGTTACTAACCCACATTTATTTTAACTGCTTATTTTAACATTTAACTGCTTATTTTATGTCTACAAAAGTATAGTAAGCAATTTACCTGCAGCAACTCATTTATTTTCCACTACAGCCTTATGGAATAATTACAATTATCCATATTTCACAGACAAAAGAAAATGAGGCTTAGATGGTTAAAGTGCTCACCAAATATCATAAAGTGGGCATCAGACTCAAAATCACTTGCAAAGCTACCAGAGATCAACCGGAAAAGCCCTTATGAAGAACATTACTTTTTTTTTAAATTTTATTTTATTTTTTTCAGTGTTCCAAGATTCATTGTTTATGCACCACACCCAGAACATTTCATAGGTCAATTCCTGGGACAAATTATGGTCAGACCTATTTAAGTGCCAAAAAAACCCCTTATTTTCTCCTCCTAACATGTTTGACCCTGATTAATCTCCTTATAGAGCATTAAGGTTAGAAAAATAAACACTTAAAGGAAAATAGAGAATGACTGAAGTGCAGAGTGGAAAAAAAGGAACAGAAGTAGAATTACATTCAATTCATGAGTATATACCAGCCATGAGATGAAATAGCTACAGTGCCTAGAACTCAGAATTACTCAGGTATGTATAACTATCAGGAATTAGGCCAGGGTAGAAGAGGGCCCAGGCAGGACAGATGGACCACATCTCATTGCAAAGTAACTTATATAAACCCTCATCACTGAGGATTTAGGGTTTTTCAAATGAATCCAAAAAATGCTAGCCTTATACCTTCTAACAAATTATTTTAAATAACTATTTTAAATTTAATAAACTACTACATTAATTAAACAAATAATTTTAAATAAGACAATAACTATTTGAAATTAGTAGTGCTTAGAGAATTGCAGTTTGGATCAGGGAAAAAGGAATAATTTCACTCTTGCAGTACAGTAGTACAGGGACAGGGCCTTTGAGTAGTCAGAAGGCAACCAAAACACTGAAAGGCTAAACTGATGGAAAAGTATTTGAACTTTTGGGGGTGATAAATACGTTCATTATTTTGATTGAGGTGCTATTTTCACAGGTGTAAACATATGCAAAGGTCATCAAATGCACACTCCAAATACATGCAGTTTTCTGTATTTTAATTATACTTCAAAAAAGCTCTTAAAAAAAAAAAAAGGCATAGGAGACAGCCAACCAAACCCTGCTATGGTTTGAGTCTAAAAGTGTGGCACTGAAAATCATTGCATGGTGCTACCTTTGGCAGGCATGCAATAACACTAAGACACTAGGTTTTAAACACTAGTTGAAATGGGAGCACACCTAAGGTTTTAACAAACCTCAGTCTCTTCCCAGTTCCTCCGTAGTCTAGTCTGTCTCCTCAACTCTAGGCATACTTGTAATGACAATTGGAATCTTAAGGCCATTGAAGGAATGTTAACAGAAACTAGCAGTAAATGAACCTCAGTGGCCTATGTATAGCTAGAGCAAACAGAAAATTTTAAAACTAGAATGAGGATATTACAGCAACAAAAGGCAAGAACATCAGGGCTGCTGACTGCAAGTGCAGCTGCCATCAGCAAATGGATGAATTGCCAAAGTGATATCAAGGATTCCTACAGTCCTTCGCTATTTAAGTTAATCAGGTTTTATATCCTGTAAGGAACAACCAAAGAATCACAGGTTACAGAATATTAATTCTAACATCTCTAGAGAATATTACTTTTAAACTCACAATTCAGTATACAACTCAGTGCACCAAATATGCTTCTCATTTCTATGAACTGCCAACCAGGTAAGCCATTGAGTGATTAAAGAGAGTCAAACTAAAATTCATAAATTGATAGGAAAGTTTTTTTAAATTAATAAAAGAATATAAAAGTATACTCATGTATGCAAAATTACCTCTGTTTGTTCAAACACAGTCAGTGGGTCACTTATTCCCCTGTAGTTAAAGGCAAAGTAGAAATAGATACATGCACCCGCATCGTATGTCTGCGTCACCCTAAAAAACAAAGAGATAATCCCCACAAGACTTTAAGTTAAGTGAAATCAGATTTAACATTTAGAAATGTAAAGGTAAGATCATTTAATTTGCTTAAGCCATAATCTCATTCTCTACCTAGACTCTTAACTCCATGGAAGGAATGGAGATTGGGTGGATGAAGGAAACACAGGAACTATCTATACTACTTTCAACAACTTTTTTTTAGTAAATCTGGATTATTACTCAAAGAATTAAAAAAATTAAAAACAATGTATATTTCTCCAATTGATCTGAAATAAACAAAAACTCTACCTCCTCAGAAGAGACTGGTTTGGTTTGGTTTTGTTACAAAGTATAGGGAAGTTAATGAAGTTCCCAAACAGACTAAATGGGACTTGGTGATCCATCATAAGCCTTCTAAACTTGCTCAAAGTCAACAAAATAGGCATGAGAACATAAACCTTGGAAATAAGAGAAATTTTCAAATACCAAAAATGATCAGGCTGGGTAAAATACAGCATCTTCACTAACTTCATATTAATAATTATTAAGAACTTTGGAAACAAATTGAATGATCAGATCAAAGGCAGTGACAAGGCTTTAAAATACTGTCTCTGAAGGTTTTACACTCTAGGCCCCATATGTGCGCATGTTGTATGTGTGTTTACAAACGATACCAAGCACATTAGATTATTAAATCATATATATGACATATATCTGGGCTTTCAAAATGCAATTAGGTGAAGCATTTAAAAGAGGGCTAAGATAATCATAGTCAGATCTGTGAGTGCAATTTACAGAGGTTCCTACAAAGAATTTAATTTAACAGAAGGAGCATACAGAGGAAATACTCTTTTTACTACAACAATACAAACAGAATCTAATCTAAAATTTTAATGGCCTTTTAGGCCAAATGTTAGGTGCCTCAGAACAGAAGAAATGAACTGTTTAACAATGCTACTGCCAATTTGCCAGCTGTGTGTTTCTTCTAGTGTTAATTCACACTTATAAAAAAGATCTCTTGAATGTTTACATTTTAAGTACCAGATTTACAAAGTTTAAGAAAAACTGGAGAACAGTTTTAACTATGAGGGCACTATCATTTAGGAGTAATCAAATTTAAATACATTGAAAGGATACCTGAATGAAATGAGTTGATAGCAATTAGTAAAATATGTATCACTCATATTTGAATCAATATCAATAAATAGAAAATACAACTAAATACTAACAGAGCATTGCTACTTTCCAACAAATCTAGGATCTATACCACAGAGTTCAGTTTCAATAGATAAACAGGCTTCTAAAAGTCATATAACAAAGTTTCACTGATCAGTAACTCAAAGACAAAGTAAAAATAATAAAAAACGTTTTTTTGAAAACCTCAGTTTGGATCTACTTCAGAAACTGACTCAGGTCTATATCTTTTAATAGAACAATTCTATCATTTAAGACACTTAAATACCAATAGCTTCCAAAATTATCTGGACAAGTGATAGCATGCCTGCCAAGGTCATTATATTATTCTTTAATTTCTAATAAATTTTTGGAGTTCTTATGTTAGACTCACTGGCCAGGAATTCCTTCCCATAAAACTTCAGAAAATTTAGGATTAGAATTTCTATTCCAGTATAAAGTACATTTTAATAGACAGAATGAAATAAATGAACCCAATAAATACACCCTATAGCTAATTATTTTCCTTGGGATCTCTTTGATTTCAATGAGAGCTATAATTATTTCAAGTTAATTTTAGAATAAATTTTAAAAAATAGTTTAAAAAATGTATTTCACACATTCAACATTTACATTCAACACACAATAACCTCCTTGGCCCACACTATTAAGCAGCTCAAATCAAACTAAACTAAAATCAAACTCTGGTTAAACATTAATTTTATCAAGTATGAGATACAAGAACTATATTTAAAATTCCTTACCAAAACCATTCAAATAACTAGACTGCACATTCTAAATTTTGGTTTTATAAAATGATCACAGAAGCTGAGCATTTAAGTTTTTATCAGAAAATCATTCTTAAAAAAAATAGCTGCTTAATAAATGACATATGTCAAATTTAGCCTATCTACCTACAATACATAACAAAAAGCCTTAGTTAAAGCCCTTATGAGTTCCTTCTGAAGATCCAAGACTTGTGCTATCCTGAGGGCAGAATATTTTACTTCCCAATAACTTTCAGTAAGTAGTGGTTTGTCACAGTGATACTCTCATAATGGAAGGGGAGAAGTCTGGACAGAGAAATAGGGAGGTGGGGCAGAAGAAGGAAGAGGGGACAAAATCTATTAAGTCGCTACTTGGTAAAACAAAGGAATAAAAAAATTCTCAACTACAAAAAAATAGATTCCATTATTTAAAGTATTTCAAATTTTACTGGTAACAAATAACTTTTGGATTATTAGGCCTGATTTGCTTTCAGTATTACAGTAGGAGGCATGACAGACCAGACCACCAAAAGAATTAAGCATCAATTTGGGTTCATAATATAAATGAACAGAAAATTTTTTCTTAGACTTTAAGATAGAAAACTTACTTTAAAAGACATCGCCAAATTAAAAAAGAGAGAAAGAAAGAGAGAGAGAGGAAGAAAGGAGAGAGATAGAAGGAGAAAGAAAGGTGTATATTGTTACACCTTTATTTGGAGAAGTTCTCTCCAAGATCAGTCACTAGGCCACCAGCAGGTTTATCAAGTTATAAGTTCCTTTATTGTACAAAGCAAGGCCCCGATTTTCCCTTCCTCTAGATAACAAATGACCAGTCAATAATCCACATTTTGAGCTTTTATGTTTTTAGATTCATCCTCAAATACACTTATTCTAAAACATATTAATACATAAATTAATACACAGGTCAGTACTTCCTGAAATGTCATCAAACCCTGATATTCTCTCTCCCACACAGAAGCCAAAAACACATTTTTGAGTAGATCTTTCAAGCTGACATGAACATTTAATGTCTAAGAAAGAGGCTTTCCTCAGATCTCATGTTAGAATTTTGCTTTCTTACCCCGGCAAAAGAATAAAAATTTAGCAAATTCTGAAAGATATCTGTCCCAAAGGGGGCAATAAGTAGAACTAAGAAATACAATCTGGTAGTAGGGAAGTACGAGATGAGGATATAAAAGATAGAAAAAAGAAAAAAATCAAAAGAAATAGTAGTCTGAAAAGCATAGAAATATTTGTAGTCTTACAAATGAAATATATGCAAATTATCATGCTACATTAAAATATTAAAGAGGACTTAACAACTGGATGCCTTCATGAGGATTTGTCATTGGCGAAGAAAAACAGTATCTAAATTTCCTTCACTAGCACTAGTATAGGTTGTCTACCTCAAGTTTCATGTAATGACCTCACAACAATTCAATGGCATTCATATAGCCCTTCACATGCCCTCTCTCACATTTCAGACTCACAAGCTCATCGAGTAGATGGTATTACACTGCCTTACTAACGATAAACTCTGAGCTCAAAGAGATTAAATTACTAATAAACGGCAAAACAGCGCCTTCACCTGTCATACACATGTAGTGTTACAAAACAAATAAATTTAAAAGTAAACAGGAAGTTGCCATGGCCAAACAGCTGGTCAGCAGGGCCTAGTTCTCTAGCTGGATTAGGCCCAGGTCTGCCTTCCCAGGCTAAGATTAAGTGATTCTGAGCAAATCAGAACAAGCATCACAAATAGAAATGTACAGAAATGGTATTTTGGTGAAGGATATCTGTTGTTTAGAGTCCCACATCAGGTATACTTAACAATAAGGATATAACATTATTTCCCAAATTACCTTAACTTCTAATTTTGCTTCTATTGTAATTTTTGTGTTTATTTCTATAATAAATATTGAATTACATTCCTGAAAACCACACACACACACACACACACACACACTCACACACACACACAGGAGAGGCAGTTATGTAACACAGAATGTTTTAAAAATTTTAAAGTGCTAGATACCACCTCACACCAGTCAGAATGGCTAAAATTAGCAAGTCAGGAAATGACAGATGCTGGCGAGGATGCGGAGAAAGGGGAACCCTCCTACACTGTTGGTGGGAATGCAAGCTGGTGCAACCACTCTGGAAAACAGCATGGAGGTTCCTCAAAATGTTGAAAATAGAACTACCCTATGACCCAGCAATTGCACTGCTGGGTATTTACCCTAAAGATACAAACGTAGTGATCCAAAGGGGCACGTGCACCCGAATGTTTATAGCAGCAATGTCTACAATAGCCAAACTATGGAAAGAACCTAGATGTCCATCAACAGACGAATGGATAAAGAAGATGTGGTATATATACACAATGGAATACTATGCAGCCATCAAAAGAAATGAAATCTTGCCATTTGCGACGACGTGGATGGAACTAGAGGGTATCATGCTTAGCGAAATAAGTCAATCGGAGAAAGACAACTATCATATGATCTCCCTGATATGAGGGAGAGGAGATGCAACATGGGGGGTTAAGGTGGTAGGAGAAGAGTAAATGAAACAAGATGGGATTGGGAGGGAGACAAACCATAAGTGACTCTTAATCTCACAAAACAAACTGAGGGTGATTGGGGGGAGGGGGGTTGGGAGAGGGGGGGTGGGATTATGGACATTGGGGAGGGTATGTGCTATGGTGAGTGCTGTGAAGTGTGTAAACCTGGCGATTCACAGACCTGTACCCCTGGGGATAAAAATATATTATATGTTTATAAAAAATAAAATTAAAAAAAAATTTTTAAAGTGCTAGATAACTACTGTATTATTTACTTTAAGGATCCCCTTCACATAATCTCCCCTAATTTCCCTTTATTTTCCATTCCAATTAATTCTATAACTTCATAGATAAGTCAAATGCTTGATTCAGTCTTCATATATTTAATCTTCTGGTGTTTTATACAGGTCTTTTAATAAGAAAAGATTGACTACAAAGTGCCCCTTCTCAAGAAAAACCTCCTTTTGGACTGCTGCTATCTAACAAAGAGGACAAGACTTTCAGTTAACTGCCCACTGTGGAAGATATCAGCCACACGGAGTGTTTTAAATTTAAATTATTTGAAATTAAATAAAACTTAAAATTCAGTTCCACAGTCACATTTCAACAGCTGCACAGCCACATGTGGCTTGTGGCTACCATAACAGACAGGGGAGACAAAGAACATTTCCACTGCCATAGAAAGATCTATTGAAAACAACGACTTAATCTTTATTTGGGTATTTTGCTCCACTCATTCCTTTATTCTATGCCCATTCATTTAATCAATAACAAAGTGGTTAAAAGCACCTTTTGTCTATTGAAGAAAAAGTTGAGTGTGTATTAAATTATACTTTCTTGAATATATGTGTGATTTACAGCTTCAGTGAATGAAGAGGGAGTCCTTTACTTTTTCTAGGAGCTCCAAGGTTTGGCTCTGCACTATCATGCTGTCCCAGTAGAGTAGAAGGCTCACTCATGGAAAGGTATTCTACTCCTAAAGCGCTAAGGACTGCTTTAAAATCCTAGGCACAATCCTAAGAAGGTGGCAAAAGGGAAGTTTAGGAAAACTTGCTAAATGGAATGACTGAAGATATTCCTCAGTTGGCAAATTACATTTCTCCACTAATTAGAAAATGTGGGTTGTTTTTCTTTTCAGGGTAAGTAGTATAAGAACAACAACAACAACAACAACTCACCTGCAGGTAGAAAGAGGAGCAAACTGAACACCCTTCTCTTTGCATTCCCTTGTTATTCGCTCTTTTACATTTCTGCAGAGATCCACAACCCTAGAAAACATCATTGAACACAATATGAAGTTTTCAAAAAATTTTCAAAAATGTGAATAAATGCTCGTTTACCTGGCATCCTTCCACTTATAACTTCAAAGGAGCAAAGTTCTTTCTTTTTTTGCCATAGGAAAGAAAGAAGTCAGAAAAGCATACTCAAGCCTCCTGAAGGCGGTTTCTTATATTCAGGCAAGCCCAATTTCAAAATAAATTTAATTACAAGATTTAAAAAGCTTTAAAAAAGCCATAATGAACACATTAATGAAAATTCAATTCTGGGTTTATAGGAATACCAACCTGTGTCCATGTCTAAAACATTTCCCTTAATATAAAAATAGTAGTCATGATGCTATACCAAATGTCCAATAGCTTACTGTCAAGCACCGAGCTAAAATACAGTTCAACACAGACTTACTGCACATGAACTATGTGTAAAGCTATGCTAGATTGATATTAAAAGTCAATGAAAACAGACAAGTAAGAAATAGTTCTTAAAGAGAAGAGGGGATTGATAATATTCAAAATGTCAATCCTTTTTTCTAAATTTTAAATAAACTTTTTATTTGAAATAGTTTTAGATACAGAAAAATCACAAAAACAGTACAAAGAGTTCCTCTTTTCCCAGTATCCTCTAACGTTAACATATTATATTAACCATGACAGATTTGTCAAAACTAAGAAACTGACCTAAGGACATCACTATTAACTAAAACACACACTATATTCATATTTCATCAAATAACAAAATTCATTTTGACCACGAAATACTGTTGTTTTAAAATATGAAGGTATCCGATTTCTTTTGTTCTTTAGTGTTTTTTTTTAAATAAAGAGAACCTTAGGCTTGATTTACTTATTTATTTTTAAAGATTTTACTTATTTATTTGATAGAGAGAGAGAGATAGCGAGAGAGGAAATACAAGCAGAGGGAGTGAGAGAGGGAGAAGAAGGCTTCCTGCGGAGGGGGGAACTGGGCTGGATCCCAGAATCCCGGCAAGGATCATGACTTAAGCCAAAGGCAGAAGCTTAATAACTAAGTCACGCAGGGGCCCCTTGTTGTTTAGTTTTTTATATAATTTTTAATGTCCTATTTGGGAGTGGAGGAGATCTAATGGTGACATATCCATATTTGGGGAACAAGCTCAGAAAAAAGTTCTGAAACAGAAAATGGATGTCAATCAGAGCTTCTAGGGTGGAGATCCAGAGACAAAAGATTTGACAGATAAAAGATTAATCTATTTTTTTAATATGAGCTGTAACATTTTGTTATTACTACATATTCCATTTGTTTTGGAAAATAAAGCTTCTAAGGGACATAGAAGCCACCTTATTCTCCAATAAACACTCTGGCTACATACTGACACTGACTGTATTTTAAATCTTGGTCTTTTTAGAATCAGGAGAATAGAAAAGATAACAAAGAAACTCAAAAGGCTGGGCCATCTCTAGTCTAAAGACTGATTTGACTGTGTGAGAACCAATCTAATTAAAAAAACTAATATTTACATGGATTATGCTTTATTAAACACATTAAAGTTACTTATATTTCCAATAAGAACAAAGAATATACATTAAAATATAAATATGGGATTTTAGTATTTTATTAGCTACTGTAGTAGCATGTCAAATTTTTTTTAATATGGTATCTGCAAGCTTTTTAAATTCTGATTGATTTTATGAGAGTTCCAGGCAAACATTTATCAAGTTTATCTATGCCTCAATTATGGAATGATAGGATATATGTTTTTAAAATACCTCTTGTAAAAGTATTTGCATTATTGGAATTTATTGTGTCATTATTTTGAAAATCCAACTTATAAAACAAATACCTGAAATATAAATTAAAGCTACTAAACTTTAAGAGCTACAGGGGTTAATAAAGATTAAAAATTTATAAACAAGTTCTTTACTATGACTCTAGAAGACAGATTTTTTACATAGCATTAATTCGTTACATAACAATAATAATAACCTACAGTAGTAGTAAGGAGGAGATGGAACCAAGAACTTGACTGACTGGTTAAAACCCTTAATGGGATACTTTCTGGAAATGATTTATACAGAGGGGCTCTGAAAGCATTCTCTCATCGAACCTGTACACAGTTCAGTCCAGGACTGATCATCCTATGGGAAAGAAAATAACTGTGTATACTTTCAAATTCTTACCTGACCTATTAGCAAATTTAACCCTGTTGACTATTTCCTACTTGGAAAAAAAAACTGCCCTTAGGCTTCTCTCACATCACTGGTTTTCCTCCAAATCCTCTGGATATTATTTTCTTTTGCTAGCTCTTGTTTGTATGCTCATCCCTTAAATGCTGGGATTCCCTGGAATTCATTCTCAGGCCCTCTTTTTTTTTCCATTCACCTATACTACCTATAAGGGTTTGTATTTACTCCCTTGGTTTTAATCCCAAGTCTCATGCCAGTGAGTCTCCAAAATCTTTAAATCTCCAATTCAGACCTTTTAGACAGCTATTTTTATAGGCTGTATTCTTACACCATTCCAGAGTTCACTCATAGTACTCTGCAGAATATTCATTGAGCACTTAACAGGTATAGCCATTTTGCTAGTGCTACTGAGAAATACACAAAAACTACTAAGACCAATAATCCCGTAAGAGACTTATGCATGAAAAGGCCTAGCAATCTACTAATGTGTGAGAGTTGAAGACTGATCCCATGGGTTTCTGCTAAACATGGTCTCTTCCTAGCTAAATGTTTGAAAGAAAAAGCAAGTTGCTGAATGGGTAACAAGTAACTTTTATGTCAGGAATGTAGCTGCTTTCCATTAATTTTATTTAAGAAAACTTCAGCTGATGATATTGTTTTAAATGAAAACAAAACAAATATATAACCCTGTATAAAAGATATTATCAGTGAGTAAAATAAATATATAAAAAATACACAAGAAAAGGATTTAAATAGTGAAAAGATAGTATATGATTAGCTTCCATAGCTACAAGAATAGAAAGACAAATGGCAATCATCAATTAATAGTAACTGATGAGGAAATTCATATGCTGAAGAAGTTAACACTACACTAACCTACCGTTCCCAGCAAGTAAACATATAAAAGACTAAAATGGTCTTTGAGACAACTATGAATAGCTAGACAACTATGAATAGCTACCAAATGATATTTGCTGTTCAAAAGTTCAGATGTCAGTAAGCTAATTTTTTATTTATAAGATTTATCCCCTTGTTAAAATATCGTATCAAAAACTGAGTAACAGATTGGTACTATACACTTGATCACTGTTTTATAATGCATGGACTATGAACATCCATGCACCAAGTTAGAACCCAGAGTAGATAAAGAATGAATGCAAAAAAGTAAAAAGTTTTCTGGGGGAGGGGAGTAAAGAGGTTAGAGTAGAAAAAAAATGTTAAGATATGTAGTATCTACAGGTGGATTCATGGGGATGGATCTGTTATATCTTATTTACTTTATAATTGCTTTAAAATAATTTGTAGATTTTATAAATAAAAAGTAAAATGTTAAGGCATACTCAAACAAAAATGTACCAACAGTCTTAAGAATTTTTATTGCTGAATGAGTTAATTCAAAAGTCCATTTTTAATAAAACCATCTCACATTTGCTCATCAGTTTTTATTATCAATTCCCTAAACCAGTATCTGTATGTACATGTGTATAATGCAAAAACAGAAATTGTACATAATATCTTAAGCTGGATTTCTTTTAAAAATCACTGAAATACAAGTTAAAATCTTACTTAATAATACTCCTACAAATATCAAAAGCTAAATCACTTATTACAAAAGAAGGTTAACAGTGGTTTTAAAATTTGGGGGAACTTTTCAGAGGACATTTAAGCTATTAAGCACTTAAAATTTTACACCAAAGCTAGTGAAACTATACAGTGACACTTAAGTGCTCAATAAGATTCTTTAAAATGTAGATTCCAGTAATATCTTCCTCTTCTATGGGACATGGACAAATCTGCCTCAAACAAACAAAAAGGCTCACAAATATGACATTTTGAAGAAGATATTGATTTTTTAAAAGATTTATTTATTTTAGAGAGAGAGCACGAGTGGAGGGGAGAGAGAGAGGGAGAGAGAGAATTTAAAGCAGACCCTCTGCTGAGTCAAGTGCCCAAGGTGGGGGCTCAATCTTATGACCTGAACTGAAAGAGAGAGTCAGATACTCAACTGGCTGGAACCACCCAGGCATCCCAAAGATAATAATTTAAATAAAAGTGTTTCTTTACAAAAATTTAAAAATTTGTATATTCATGTACAAAGATACATTATTTCAGCAACTCCTATAGCATATTTGAATAATATTAGGCATTTTATTATATTTTACCTGTCCCAAGGAGCAGAAGTCTCGAAAGACTCTCCTAATACATAGTATTCCAAACCCAAGTCCTGTTAAAACATATATACAAAAATCAAGATATTACAACAGGCACAGAAGAATGAATACTATTGTAATATTGCTAGTATTTCACATAATTTTTAGTATTACCTGTTTCTAATGTAACCTCCACTGCTCTTTACTCTCCACTCCATAAAAGCACTAGAAAGTGGTCCTGAGAGTGAGCTATAACCTCCAGGAGGACAGGAACTTTGTCTGTCTTACTGTCTTCTGTACCCTTGTACCAGGCAATGTGCCTGACACATGGAATTTAAATATTTCTCCAAGGAATGGAGTCTCTATCTAAGAACTGTCTGTGTACATGCAGAGGATACTAGGACTGATTTTTTTAGTAACCTAAACAGCAAATTAAACAACATTAAAAAGTGGTCAGGAGGATGGAAGGACCAGGCCAACAGAGAAGTGGGGAAGGGGGACTAAAGGAAGAAGGTATCTCTCTCTCCTGAAATCAACTTTTCTTTAAAAATAAATTAGAAAATATAGTGCCTCGCTTTGTAGTAACTAAATAAGATAGGATATCTGGAAGCATCTCTGCTAGGAAAGTGTATTTTATAACACACAAGATATAATTCTTATTTGGTAACTAACTTACAGTACAAATTTCTTTAACCGGAATACAATTCTGCTTTAATACCAAAACTGGAAAAAGCAATTCATAAGCCACCACAGAAGTGCAAAGATAGGAAAGAAAATTTTATAAGTACAAAAATCAATACATGTTAAATTTTCACTTCTAGCAAAATGAATCATTTCAATTCTACCACTGGTTGACAGGAAAAATCCCCAAATTACTGATCTAAAATATGTGGATTTTCTCTTCTGCATTCACTTATGCAGTACATACACTTGGTGACAAGGTATTAAGCACTGGGAAAATAAAAAATAAGACAAAACAAATATTCACCCCGCCCCAAATCTCAAAATTGCTTCTGTTTCCGTTTTAACAGTGTCTATGCTGTACTTGTTATAGTTACATTTCATTTTCTAGAATTCTAAATTCAGTATTATAGGAAAATGGTCAATATACTTAGAGAAAATGCCCAACAAAACATTTATATACATTCAGATTGCTTACTAGGGGAGAGCTTGTGATAGTAACAGTCTATGGAGGTAAACATTATTAATAAGACCTAAAATCATCTATTACTTTTCATGATCTGTAAATCCCTTAATCACAATTTCTAACATAACACACAAGCAATAAATGTAATTTTCCTTATCAGCATGGAAGAATGGGGTTGCCCAGGAAAACGTATATGCTTCAACTTTACTGCAACCTAAAATTTAGATCTTACCAAGGATTAAATTATTTTTTTAAAGACTTTTTTAAAAAAATTAACTTGACAGAGAAAGAGAGCACAAGTAGGCAGAGAGACAGGTAGAGGCAGAGGGAGAGGCAGGCTCCCTGCTGAGTGGGGAGCCCAATACTGGGCCAATCTCAGGACCCTGAGATCATGACCTGAGCTGAAGGCAGATAGATGCTTAACCGACTAGTTATTTTTAAAATGAGAACAATACAAACTTTCTTAGAGAAATAAAAACAAATTTTATAGAAGTTTATGTATTTCCTTCAGAACAATTTCCAAGTGAATATTTAGAAAATTTAGCACTTGGGAAAGTTAAATTCTCAGTAGGACATTTGAGGAATGACTTTTTAAAATAAGACCCTTCAAATTACATGAACAAGCAATATTTTCAAAATCTAACTCTAATAAGAGCAAAAACAATTACAAAACTTGAGTTTATTACAGCCAAAGTAGAAAAACAAAACAAAATAAATGAATAAACTTCTGAAAGAATACTTTCCTATCGGTAAGTATAGTAGACTCTTGGTCAACATGACTAATAAAGTTTCTCAAAAATAGAAAATCTGGAATTAGAAAAATTTTAGACAAATTATTTTATTTAGAATTAATTTTATATAGCAATCATCACCAGTGAACCAATTACTACTTGGAACCAAGTTAAATACCAATTTTTAAAGAGTTAAAGAAAGATTATATATCTTTAGAAGAGATTATGAACAAGTCAGAGTAGAATGACCTAAATAATCTTTAAATTCCTCAAAAACATTTAAGGAAGACTTCACTGGGCTTCTGAACACTCGTAAGCTAGTCCTACATTCATGTAAAATGATGTGGTACACCATACTAGATTAAAACTTAAGAAAATAATTTTATTCATTCAAAGTAAGGAAAAGTATGGTCTGCAACATAAACTGACAAGGGAAATACGAGATAACTTACTCGAATGTATGCGATGACGTACGTCAGCAAATAACCTCTCTGTCCATTATCTTCTCCAGCTGCCAATCCACTGTAATTAAAGAACAAACTGTGAATATATATCATATGTATTTATTAAAAATATATAAAACTAACCAAACTAATATGACACCCAAAGATAACTGCTTAACAGATTAACAAATATTACATTGCATCTCATTTTTATTTTAATCTAATTTATCACAAATGTATCAAAGAGCTGTCAAAAGAATGAGCTTGGGTAACAAAAACCTAAAAACACTTATAATATTTCAGTTTGGTCATTAATTTCAAACTTTTATCTATCAAACTAATAAAACTGACTCATATGAACTCAACTACTTCTACCCATACTGACAATAGAGAATTAGCCAGGAGAAACAAATTTAAGAAAACTTTAATAAACTTCACAAGCATAACAAGATACCTAAAATACTCTTATTTTATTCATATATTCTTATCCATATATTCATGTGTTATTATAGTCTTGTTCACATATAAAGATGTACAATGATGGACTACATCTTCCAAATGCCAAAAAGTTTTTTGCATACTCATGCACATTGCATATGAAGTAACAGACACAGTGTTTATTTTATGAAACTTGTAACTTAAATGAGACAAAATATATGTACACAGAAATATTAAAGTTTATGAAGCAACATACAATTACAAGAAAACAGGTAAGGTTTTATTACTATGAACTATTCATTTCTGTTTGAGAGTAGTTTTATCCACAGAAACTGTATTTGGTGATCTAGTTAGAACTAATCCCATATGACATATAATTCAGTCCAAGTCTCTGCTTTGTGAAAGTCATTCTTATTCTACTACCTTCAGTAAAGAACTTTCACTTTTGCTTGTTCCCATCATCAGACAGAAATTAAATTTTAACTATTCTTAGTCAACTGAAGAAAACTTACCATAAACGCCCAAAGTGCCCATGGGGGAAAAAAAAATCCCTCAATAAAACCAGATAAAAAGAAAAGTGCACTTTCATGTGACTTTCTTGGGTCATAATGGGTGATAAACTTCTCTGTCTCTCTGTAGAATGCCATAATTACACTTCCTTGGTCTCAGGATGCTGAGCCCTTAATCACAGTGTTGCCTAAGACTCAGGTCTTGAGGGGCGCCTGGGTGGCTCAGTGGGTTAAAGCCTCTGCCTTCGGCTCAGGTCATGATCTCAGGGTCCTGGGATCGAGCCCCGCATCGGGCTCTCTGCTCAGCAGGGAGCCTGCTTCCTCCTCTCTCTCTGCCTGCCTCTCTGCCTACTTGTGATCTCTCTGTCAAATAAATAAATCAAATCTTTAAAAAAAAGTTCAGTTAGTAACGGAAAGGCTTAGATTACAGGCTAATCTCTGAATTTATTTTTGAAATGTACGTGTACCTACTTTTTAGTTTCTAAGTTTTGGGAGTTTATACATAATTTGAGTTTTAGCTTATTTCCTAAAATCCATGGTGTTAGAAAAAATTAAGGTGGTTTAGATGAAAACCTTTTATATCTAAAGTAAATCTTTTATTTCTGTTCTTAAATATTAGAGGTTGAAACTTAAAAAAACTTTTTTATATATTTAAAAAAATTTTTTTAAAAGATTTTATTTATTTGACAGAGAGAGAGATCACAAGTAGGCAGAGAGAGAGAGAGGAGGAAGCAGGCTCCACTCTGAGCAGAGAGCTCAATGTGGGACTCGATCCCAGGACCCTGAGATCATGACCTAAGCCGAAGGCAGAGGCTTAACCCACTGAGCCACCCAGGCGCCCCACTAACTGAACTTTTATAACACAATTACTCTTAACTAATTTAGTTAAAAAATCAGTAATTCCCAGAAAAGGTACTGTGAAAGAGGAAAAGTGAAAGATTAATTAATTTCATCTTTTACTGAAGAAACTCCACTTGCCAATTTCAGAATAAGGTAAAAATAAAACCGAGAAACTAATTTGCAATACTCAAAAACAGTATAAAATTAAACTAAAAATTAAGCCCAAGATTAGATCTTTTTCCAAGAATTCTGCATTTAAACACTAAGTTCAGAACATCCTAAAAATGAAGGGCTACATATTGTATGTGAGAAAAATACATAAAAGTGAGGCATTCTAAAAGACAAGGCTACAAATTAAGTGCCCATTTATTTTCATAATAGCAAAAAAGGGAAATTAAAGTAAATATTTACAAAGAACTCAGATTAAACATAATGTATATTTTAAGCTCTGAAATAAAAAAAGGAAAATGTTATCCAGGAAACTTAGTTTATGTACTTAGAAAGGAAAGGGAAAAAATGTAGTCCTGATAAATGGCATTTTCACTATAGTTCTCATCAATCAATCTCATAATCCACCAAGCAGACAGAAAGAAACCACCCAATCATTATTCAGTAGGTTATAGATGTGAAATGTTTTCTGTTTCTTTATACCAGCACAAAACAGTAAGTGACAAGGGGTGGAGTATAGAAAATTTATCAAATTCTTTTGTTTAAAAAATTTCCTTTTAAAAACATACTAATAACATGTTTTATACATACACAATTAACACTAAATAGTAAGAGGACTATGAATTTTTCATATTTTACTCTAGTACAATGAAAGCAAACATTATAAAATCAGCATTAATGGAAAAATATAATAAAATATTTAATATATCTCATATATGATCACAAATTTTAGAAGTAAACCAACACATTTTAAGTTGACTATCATATATTATCCAAATTTAATACTTTAAAGGATACATTAACAACTGTTTACAGATAGCAGAATTTTAATTATTTATTTTTTTAAAAGATTTTATTTATTTATTTGACAGAGAGAGAGATCACAAGTAGGCAGAGAGGCAGGCAGAGAGAAAGAAGGAAGCAGACTCCCTTCTGAGCAGAGCCTCATGCGTGGCTCAATCCTAGGACCCTGAGATCATGACCTGAGCCAAAGGCAGTGGCTTAACCCAGTGAGCCACCCAGGTACCCCCACATACTAGAATTTTAGATTAACATTCTCTTGCCATTATGAACTAAAAGCCATACCCAAATTTTGCAGCGATGTCATACACTTGCTTTTCATGTTGAAGAACCTTCTCACGGTCGCCCTCAAATAGTAATGTAGCGACAGTCAGCTGATTTGGATCAAATCCTTTGAACTACCAAAAAAAAAAAATTATTACAGATAAGTCTTATCCTACAAAACAGTAAATCAAAATACATTCTGCTCATTTTTCCTTCTGATCTGGGCTCAAAGATACCAACTCTTTAAAACTGAGCTTTGGAATTTTACATGTGAATCAAAAAGGATGTTTAATGCACCTATTCAGGTTGTTACAAATAACAAAGCTATAGAAAAATACTTATTTTCAAAGTATGCCATGGTGTCACTTATAATAACATATGGGTAAGTAATACAACAATAGAACATGTAAGAATTATAGCTGCAATAAAGAAGCAAATAAAAATACCAAATGATAGAATATAATGAATTAGCAAGATGTAACATGAGCAAAAAGTAAAAAATAACAGTATCCTTACATACCAAAAATAACTTCTTATCAAATAACATTTTCAAAGGAGATCTTACATATACAATTAAAATACCTAAGAATAACCATAAAAGGAAATATGTAACCTCATTAGGAAAACATGTCTAAAAATGGATTATAAAGACCTATGTTCTAGAATGCCTCAACTAAGCATATAAACCTGTCAATTCTTGCTCAACTTAATATACAGGTTCATTCCAATTCTGATAGAAACCTTAATGGACTTCCTAAGATGGTGAAGAGTTTCTAAGGTTTTTCTAGGTTGATGAACAGTAGGCTATGATGGAAAACAAGGAAAATTCTAAAAAACAAGAACTAGACCTATAGCAATTAAATCCATTTAATTTTTCAAGAACAAAAAGCCATTTAAAAAATGTGATACCTTTTTAAAATTCAATTTATATAAACTAAACAAACAAACAAAAAAACAGTTCACCTTCTCCTCCCACCCCTCAACCCCTAAAAGCAAAAAAAGTTCATCTTCTTTTCCCACCCCTCACCCCTGTCTCTGGCAGTTACCAGTCTGTTCTCTGTATCTATAAGCTTAGTTTTTTGTGTTTTTTTTAAATTTTTTCCAGATTGCACATATAAGAGAAATCATAAAGTATTTGATACAATAAAATGGAGTCTACGTCCTGAGTCAGTACATAAGATGTCTCAGACATGGCAAGTCAATGTAAGAGAAGCAGGGATTAGTTAGTTAATGGTGCTGTCACAACTGGTTAACAATTGGGGAAGTACAAGGTGAGGTTAATTTAGAGCTTTATCACAAATCATTAAACTGAAATAAATTCAAAGAGTAATAAAGATAAAAAATTTTTAATTCCCGCTTAACAAAAAAAGCGAGAGAGAGAAGAAATGCTCCCAACTTAGAAGTCGTTAAATAATCACAGGAAAAGATACAAAATTTTGAAACTTTTGCACCAAAAAGAAAAACTCTTATTAAAAAGGGAGTCACCCAAATTAATTAATTAGTTAATTAATTAAAAGGGAGTCACCTGACTCAAAAAATTCTTCACAACATTTAAGACAAAGGCATCTAATAATCCCATTACTCAGACGGTACAAGCAAAGTACCAAGGGAAAAAACCACAAAGTTGCCACCCTTGGCAAAATAACCATACTGAACTAATGCAGACAAAAACTGTACTAGGAATTACAGGGAAATGATGGGTCTCACTGGAATTTCAATGAGAAACACTAACTAAAATAAAGTACTACTCCCCTCCCCCCGCCGGCCGGTTTCAGTACATTTAGAACATAACAGAACACAACTCCCACACGCCATAGCAAGGATGGAACAAAGAAACAGCACCGGTGTGTCCCTAGAGGTAATGTAAGCTGGCATAACCGTTTAGGAAAGGAATTCAGCAAAGATTTAAAAAAAAAAAAAATCCACACTCTCATTTCACTAGATAGAGATATCTACTACAAAAAAATAAATAAATAAAAAATCAAACTATAAAAAAATCTTACATGCATGAAACTGATGTTATTTTTTAGGAACTTCATATCTGGAAAAAAATTATTTCTGAAATTAAATGCATAACTGATTTACTTGATAACATATATATTCCAACATAAAAAATAATAATTAAAAATGTACATAACACCATGAAAAAACATACTTGATAACAGGTACATGTGAAGGGGGAGAAGGCAGAAAACAAAATATCATAAGCACTTATAATTTTAGCATTTTATAAAAATTCTTACCTTTGTAATATAAAATTTCTTTAAGCCATCCAAAAATGATGTGAAAATAGAGGAAACCTGAGGTTTAAGAGCATGACCTAAGAAGAAAAAGTTCATAATTTAAATTAATAGTAAATTCTCTTTTTCAAAAGATTAAGAGGCTAGTTTAATTTAGTATCCTAAAAAAGTGAATGTTTCATGTCTCCAATTTTTTAAATCTTCCTACATTTATATATAGCATATTGATATTAATATCTACATCTTTTAACTTTCTTTCAAAAGTCACAACTTTCTGTTACAAAACCTCTCATTTCTTTTTGAACTCAAATTACTATATGTAAATACTACATATAGTTTAGGTTATTTTTCAATGGTATAGTTTATACATAGTAAAATCACTTCATTAATTTTTATTTCATTAAGAACAGCCAATGGTGGCTGAGTTTACTTTTATTTTTTGTAATTATGCAGAAACCATTCAGAACTATAACCAAATATGCAGTCAATGCCAAGTTTAAGGTTGTTTCTTAATTAATTCTTAATTCTTCCAGAATTCTTGGCATAAAACTAGTAATTGCTTCCTTAATCACACCCAGAGAGTTAAAATTGCCAAAATAACATAAACAGTGTCTCAGAGTCTGTTAAATTAACATCTTTGCCTGCGGATTGGGCTTAATTGAGTGAAAGTCTTTTACTGTTTTCTCATTGTTTTCAGAATAACAACTTCTTAACTCCCTTGACTGTTAGATTAAGAGTCATACATCTGGTCTTAGTGCTAAAGCCCCCATTCAGAAAAATGGGGCATACCATTTACAAAGAATTTTTATAAAGAATTTTAAAGTCTCTAGTAAATCTGAAGTTATTTTCAAATACAAATTTTATTTTTTAAAAACAGCTTTAAGATTTTGGGATGTTGTTTTTGTTTGTTTGTTTGTTTGTTTGTTTAAAACAGAGATCTCTTCTTTAAAATAGGTGCAAATAGCAAAGGAGTTTCTTTGGTGGGGAGGGGAGAGATTTCTAGGGGGAAAAAACAATGACTTGTATTTTTTTTTCCCCATTCATTTTTTTTTTTTTTTTTAGAATCTGAATCTGTTATACTTACTATATTTCTACTACTTACAGTAGGAAATTGTGACATGAAAGACCAAGTAACATAAGTCTTAACCAGAGGTAAAGAGTTAGCTATCCATGCTATAACTGAACAAAACAAAAAACAACAAAAATGAAGGGCAGATTTTATAGAGATCAACCTAGCAATCTTTTCAAGTTCCTGGATCACATGTTTGGGAAATTTTTTTTCTTTTACTGTACCCTGTCAAAAAATGTTTCTCCAGCATCATCAGTACCTTAAAAAATACCATTTCTAGAAAGTATAGAAATAACATACCATCAAAATATTCACTTCCTGTCCCAAATGGAATTTATCCTACTTTAATAATTAGAAATGAAAAAACATAAATGTGCATGTTAGTCATATTCTTGCAAGAAACTGAAATTATCTGTTCCCATATAAGCCTTCTGATCCACATATCTTCACATAATTTATGACTCCAAAAGTCACTAATGTGAAATAATCCTTAAGGGTCATCTTAACACATGGAAATTTATTTGCACAATTTCCATTAACACTAGCGGGACTTAGTCACATATATCCCAAATAATGAGTTGACATGATAGCTTTGAAGAATAATCATCATAAAAGCGATACTATCCTTAAGTGTGTCAAGCATTAGTAGTCACCTAAGAGGATATGATCTTTTATTTATTCTTAAATTCTTGTTGCCTTTCAAATTAATTACATTCTAAATATATTTTGGCTACTGTGTTTTATTTTTTATAGTAAATGAAGGAACTAGGTTTTCAAATTTACGAGTTGAACAGTCTGATTTGTAAATTTGGTGTTGTTACACTGTTAAACATTTTTAGTTATTTAATAAATACCTACATTTCAAAGAAGCAATCTCAAAAGGTGGGAAAAAGTCTTGGGCCTTGGAGTCAGATTTGCGTTCAAGCCTGGCTCTACCACATACAACCTGTGGGCTTTGGTTGAAATACCTAGCCTTTGAGTCATTTGTAAACTGGGAGTCACTTTCAGGAACAGCTGTGAGGAGTATTTGATAAACTATGATACTGATATTGTGCCTGGCATAGTACTAAGTGCTATTCAAGATTTGTTCACCCTCTTTTGCTAAGTGGATGATTAAGTCAATCAACATCAGGGCCTATCATATGACAGGTGTAGGAGATACAAAAATGATAAAGAAACATGCCCTAAATTTGACAAACTTTAGTTTTTATTTTATTTTTTTTTAAAGATTTTATTTATTTATTTGACAGAGAGAGATCACAAGTAGACAGAGAGGCAGGCAGAGAGAGAGAGAGAGGGAAGCAGGCTCCCCGCCGAGCAGAGAGCCCGACACGGGACTCGATCCCAGGACCCTGAGATCATGACCCGAGCCGAAGGCAGCGGCTTAACCCACTGAGCCACCCAGGTGCCCCAAACTTTAGTTTTTAGAGGAAATCTACAGATCATTTCAATATATTCAATGATATGTCATTTCAAAATATTTAAAACATATCATTTCAATATAATAAACTGAAGGGTTGCATCAGAGGTAGGAGTGAAATTAAAAATACTAACATCTAATAATAAGGTTTGTGCTTTGTTAACAACCAATATGGTACAAACACCGCAAATCAGCTAGTAAAAAGTCCTAGACATCCCTTGCTGTGCTAAGTGTTATTCTTTAGTTGCCTGATCATGGAGCCATGAAAGATATATAGATGGAAAGGCTTCAACAGGTAGTGAGAAATCAAAAAGGTTATAGATAGCTAAGAAGCAGAATCAGATCTGTCTGTTCAACAAACCACTTTAATGGCCATGTAAAGGGTGGCCATGTAAACAGTAGAAAGAAGAGATATGGTCCAGACTAGAGATGGTAGAACGTGCTTTAGAACATGTTCCTAGACAGACCAATGAGAATGTGGAATAGGGACGACAGATGGCCAGAGGATCTTTGCTTTAAACTTTCATTTTAAATTGTTAAAATCCCAATTATAAATAAAATCTAGTCAAATCAGTTAATTTTATAAATATGTCTATGTCTAACATAATTCACTATAATAATAGCTATATAATGTATATATAGCTATATAAATATTATATTATATATATAGCTATATATAATATAAACTAATATAATAGCATATAAATGGATAACACAACATTATTAATCAGATACATGGCTCTCTTAAGACCTACATCTCTAAATGCAGCTGAAACACACAGAAGTCTTCATTTTCATTTGATTTAACTATTTCATTATTTATAGGACACACTTATCTTAAGCTTTTATCATTTTGAAAATAATTTACTTAAAGGAATAAAAGCTATGACTTGGAAGAACCTAATTTTAAACCTAACTCTTGATATATTATGAACATGACTTCCTTAAGTTTCTATATAATAATCACTCTTCTCTAAATTAAAATCTAAACTACTTTTAAGTAGAACAAACAAAACCTGCCTATCTTAGCCATTAATATTTACTACTGAGCAATCATTCCTATAATTTCAGACACTGCTCTGAAGACTTCAATTCTATAAACTTGGATCCCAAATTCAATTTCAGTATATGGGAAAAATATAGAAGCAATAAAATTAGAATGAAAAGATGACAAACTGCATCAGAAAGTCAAATACTTTAAAGCAAAATAGGGAGAAAAAGAAACATGGTTATTTGCTAGTGAATTCTCTACCAGATTATTCCAAATGGTACCTTAAAGGCAACCCACTGTAAAATCTCTTCCACCAAATCATCATCTCTTCCTCTAGACAGTTACTCAATGCACACAGTCAGTCAAATCAGAAATCTGGGACTTGCTCTCAACTCTTCCCATTACTGAACCTTGGCAAACTGAGCTTTGGGAAATCTCTGCCTTATTCTTTATCTCCATTACTCCTGCCTTGATCAGGGCCCCCAAAATTTGCCTCTTGAAGCATTTCAACTCCTATTCCACACTGGCACCATTCTACTCCATCCTGCATAATGCTAGTAGAATGGAGTTTTCTCCAATGTAAATCTAATTTATTTTATTACCTCTACAAGAAATCCCTCTGCTGACAAGATAAAATCCAAATCGATCCTGCTAAGCCCTAGTCCACCCACCTGGTATCTCTTGCAACAACTCTCACCCACCCTCTGTTTGAGCCATCTTGAACTATTTGAAGTACAAACATGCCACTGAGGTTTTACAATTCCATATTTTTTTGCTGATAAGTGAACAAATTTGGTAAAGGGAAAAGGCAAACTTGTATTCTCCTTTTAAGACTTAGCTTAAGCATTACCGTCCTTTAAGAAGGCTTTCCTGACTCCCCATGTCAACATGCAGCAAAATTCAACAGGCTCAATTCAACAGGCTCAACCACTCCTTCATTTGCACCCTAGGGTACCCAGTGCACTCTTCTTTCACAACACCCGCAATAATCCTACACTCATTCTTTATGTAATTGTCTGTCCTCATTAGACTGAGAGCTTCCTGCAGGGCAGGAACTATCACATTCATCTTCCTACCTCTTCATTCCGTACTCTTCCTGGCAGGTAACAGCTGTTTCACAAATTTTGTGGCTTCATGAGCAGTGTTTAAAATGACAACTCCTTACTTACCAAACTGAAACTGTTGGTTGTCCATGAGGCGGATAGATGCAGGAGCACATCTCTATTTTAATAAAAAGAAGAAAATGTGACATAAATTTAATACTGTAGAGAAGCTAGACAGGTAGAATAGAAATGTCATCGTTCTGTATTTGAGATCAAGAGTACAGTTCCTAGGAATATATACAGTAAAAAAAAAATCTTAACTTTTTATATAACTTTAAGATGACAGAACATCAGTGACTTCTATAAAATACCTGGAGGAGAAATCCCCATGTATAATACATACACACATATGTTGCCATATCTTTAATTTGTCTGCAACTAGATCTTCTTAATGCTTAGCAAAGATCTATGGAAGCACCTAAACAAAATATTGGGGCTTGAGGTGGATTATTTTGGAACAAAGAAGAAATTTCAAAGACTAAAATCAATGCCTAGAACACTACACTACTTGTGAATTATAATGTGTCCTCAGGTTCTTATGTCATCTTTTAAAATGAAGAAGATGATGGTGGATATACATTTTTAAGATGAAGAAGATGATGGTGGAACTTTTGTGAGTTAAAGCACTTTTAAAAAAAAATTATCTGTGATGCCTTCATACACAACTCTAGGAACTCCCCTTTTTATCCCTTCTCATAATCCCTTTTCAATAGAAAATTCTGGACATTATCAAACAATGTCCAGAATTCTAAAATCTTTCAAGGTTACTTGTATGAAATAGGGACAAAACTCTGAGTGATAACATTACGTATCTAAAACTACGCCAGTGTTAAATTCAGTCTAGGCATCACACTAAATGCTACATGGAAAGAAAAATGAGGAGAGCTGATAGCCATATAAATTTTGTGATGTTGAAATACAACAGAAACACTAGAAAGGTTTAAGTTAGCTATAATTTTTCCATAACATTAAAGCAAGCTGGACTCCAGAATTTTATTTTCTATGTAAATTTTTAACATGGTTAAAGTTCTACCAAGAGGTTACTTTCAGATGACAAAATTTTCACATTTATCAATAAAATTTGCATCAACACGACATTAAGATTTATGCAGATCATTCAAGAGAACAAAACTTACTATATAATTGTGCATTTTTGCTACTATTCACTTTTAATTAAATGAATACTTAATTTTATAAAATCACTCACAATACATATTTTATTTCACCCAACAAAATGACTAGATTCTCATTTTGAACACTGCACAATTTATTTACTCACCTTTGATGCTAAAGGTGAGATAATTCAATCTGTATTTTAAAAAGTCACTGCCAAATCTAAAGAAACAGTACTAGGTGATTTTATATATATAATATAATGATAACCTATGCCTCACTTTTATAGAATCCTGTGATGTCTAACTTATCTTCACATGTCTCATTTAATATAACAACCCCATCAGGGTAGCAGAACTGGTATTATCCCCATTCTTCAGATGAGTACATAAGAACCAGAGAAGTTAAAAGACTTGTCTAAGGTCATAAGACTGCTAAATAGACAAGAGTAAAAGACAGAAGTAGGACCAAGATATACCCTGACTGCTAGAAAAACAGTATTTCAAATACACCACAAAGCTTCCAAAAAAATGACTTAACACACACCACACACATACACACACACACACACACACACACACCTTTCAAGTCATATTTGAAATAAAATGTATGTGAAAACTATCTATTCACTATGCAGTTATAAAATAAAAAATATACAACGTGAGTAATTTCAAATCTTGGTATAAAGATACCTTTGTAATTGGGTTACACTTCTAAAAACCAAACTAGTTTCCAAAATACTAAAGAAAAATCAATCTTCCTAAAATGTTCCTATTTAAGAGGCATATCAACTTTTTCAAAATTTATTTTCATTCTTATTTTTTTAAGTAGGCTCCACGCCCAGCATGGAGTCCAATGCAGGGCTTGAACTTAAGACCCTGAGATCAAGACCTTAGCTGAGATCAAGAGTCGGACACTTAACTGACTGAGCCACCCAGGAGCCCCAGGCGTACCAACTTCTAGTAAGACATATGAAGCCTGCTTAGACAAAGTTTCTCTTCTTCGTAAAATAAATAGAATATCATATAATAAACTTATTTATATGTTTTGGCTTACACACACCAGTAACATATAAGAAAGAATTCAGAGCCCTTCTATCATTATTAGAAAACAAACCTTTTTTTTAAAGATTTTACTTTTAAGTAATGTCAACACCCAACATGGGACTCTAACTCACAACCCTGAGATCAAGAGTCAATGACTAAGCCATCCAGATACACCCCTACCCACAAAAAACAACTTTTAAATTCCTAACAACAACCTGTAACTTCTATCTCCTACTGCTACATAGATTCTACTACTCCTATACCTATAGCAAGTGCTATTAATGAAAACCACCAGCACAGGACACATATACCAGAAAATGGCAGGGAAGTATATTATGTCTAGTACAGCAAATCTGCGGTGGAATTCCATCTCTGAAACAACTAAAATACAATAAATATGCAGGCCTTGATAAAATCTTGGTTTGAAAAGACTATCTACAAAATACATCTTGGGTATAACTGAAATTGTTCCAGTTATACCCAAGATGTATTTTGTAGGTATACAGAGGAGCAGTACTCTGTTCTTTTAAAGTTTCTATAGGCTTAAAACTTTCAAATTAAAAAAACTGGAAAACTAAGTAAGCTTCAGGGCACTTGGTACATATAACAACTTATACTCAATAATATTGACCACGATTTTAACCTGACAGCTGAGTCACATAACTAGTCAATCATGTACTATTCCTATTTATAATGAGGCAGGGTAGATGGTTACAGACTAACACCTACCACAAAAGAATGAAAAGCTAAAGAAAGTTTATTGTATCTAGATAATAAATATTAGTTTCCAATACTGACTTTTAAAAAATTTTTTATTTAATCTGATTATTTAGCTTTATAATAGCTTTATTATTAAAGCTATTATTAAAACAGACTAAATAAATAGCTGTATTTAGTCTGTTTTCATAGTGCCATATCTTTTAAAAGTAAGTAAGTGAGTTTTTTAGTTATCACAAGTAAACTCTCATGAGTAAATTCCCATTCTCTCTCTCATAAAATAAATTCTCAAATAAAAAACAGCATCCAGATTGCTTTATGATCTTCTGGCAATTGATCATTTGTAATGATTGTGCATCATTCTAAAAACACATAGCAAGAAAAGCCTCTTAGAGTTTTACATGAAAACTTGCCACTATAACTAATTAAGTTTAAGTTCCTATAATCAAAAGATCAAAATAATATTACTCTTAAAAAACAACAACAACACTCAATCTGGGTAACTCTACCTATGGTTAAGATCAGGTTATGTTTCAACTGCTATAAAAACCTCATTTGAAAACCTAAAAATATTTCCTTTAAAAGTTAGAGACATCACAAATCCTGAGAATTTGAGCTCTAAACTCATTCCCATGCTATTTAATTATGCTAAGAGTATTCCACAGATGAGGAAAGGGGGAAAAGTGTCCTTGAGTTAAAGTGACCCCTGGTGGTTTGTGGTCAGAACTAACCTGAGAGGAACAGTTATAACAAGTAATTTTATTGGTGGGTTAATAATACTCATTCAGGGATTTTAAGGAACACTCAAACAAAATCTGCTTACCCAAACAGGAGTTAATGAAATAATTGATATATTTTCTACTATGATAAATGTATTTTTACTAGAATCCCTCATGTCATCTGACTTGTACCCAAGTACACTTTATATTAGTAAATAATCTGAAAAGAGATGAGAAACTCATTATCGACTAATAAGGAAATATCAAATTATCTTTGTTCTATCTGAAAATAAATAAATAACTACATTGACCTGAGAGCACAAGTGTAGACTGACTCAGTTAAATTGCTGGCAATCTCTTCCCTTTAATGACACTACAACCAGGAATTTACTTGAATATAAAACCTGAAAAATAAAAACCATCACTGATTAGTCTTATCTACTGAGTAGAATTCTCTACACTAACTTAAAAACCAACAGATTTCTCAATCCAAACATCTTCTCCAAAAAATAATCCCTATAAGAAACACATCAGAAAATTTCTGCAAAATCTGTTTTTATGGAATTAAGTCATATCTCTTTCTTATCACAAAGAAAACCAGAACTTGCATTGTAGATGTGACATATTATTTGTAAAGGTATCTCTTAGTTAACTAGTTACTGGCAAATCAATACTAAAACATTTCAAATGTCAGCAGGATTTCTGCTATTCCAATTTCATAAAGATGAAATATAAAATAAAAGCACTGAATGGTAGTCCTATATCTAAACTACCTTGGTTAACACATGAATCTTCTTTGTATTGAAAAGGCTTGTTTATTCAAGAAGTAAATCAAAACATTCTGTGTAGACTCTAGAACAGCCCAAATTCCTGAACCGTAAGTCTATTTGGGAGATAGTCTAGTAATCTCATACTGTATCAGAAGCCAAAGCTCCAATACCAAACTCCTTGTACTTAACCATACAAAAATTTAAACACCTAAAATTTATTATGATATACACCATCTATAGTGATTGCTAGAAGCCAGGAACTATGTCTATTTAACTTACACAATATCCAATGTACTTTGTTGGATATAAAGTTAAGAGCACACTATCTCAAGTACAGATACACACACAAAAAATAAGTTAATAAATAAATTCAAAAAAGGGTATGTGAAGAGAATTCTGTTAATTGCAAATCTCCAGAGAGACGAAACTTAAAATGTAGACAGGTAATTGGTTCTTCCTCAGAGCTGATACCACAGATGAAATCAGACAGCATTTAAGGCTACTGGTATAACTATCATTCCCACTTGAAGTGACAGCTAGAAGTCCACACTGTAAACAATAAGAATGTTCTTTAACAAGAGAATTAACTCTTGGTTTTAAAGAATGAAACAATACATCCTATAGAGTAGGTATTTCCCTCAATTTATATTAAGGGAAGAGCCAAAAGTTAATGCCAAACAGTCTCTGGTTCGTCATTTTTATTTTTCATTTTTGTAAGGGTGTAATGACTTGTTCTAACTAGCTCCTGGTTGAAAGTAGGCCTTGTCACTGTCCTCAAGTTTAATACATTTTGCTGGGTCACAGAGTACAGATTCCAATTAATCAAACATTTGGCGAGGTTATTTACTCTGCTTCAGAGGAAGGAAAGAACATGCATTCATGCGTGCGTGCATGCACACACACACACACACACACACACACACACGCTCATTTAAAATAACAATGCCATTTTCTACATGTAACAAATTATTTCTAAGAATTACCACTGAATATAGAGAAGTTTTAATTATTTTATAATGTAAGTGCTAAACCTAGCTCCTTTTAATTTACTTCAACACCTCCAGGATAAATCAAGTTTAAGACAGAACAATCAGAACTGAGATATAACAGTCTGAGGTGTCAAACATGAACTATGTACTTCTTTCCAAATTATAGTCTAAACTCTCTAGAAAACAACACCGTATCGGTTTAAAATTGCTTGAAATAAAAGTGATGGTAGGTAGAATGGGACACCCGTTGTCAAAAGGGAGAGGAAAAGCTGCCTTTTAATTTATAATTCTAAAAACCTAGTTCTAATACTGAGAAAGACTGTTTTCAGAGGAATGCATACTGATCTGTGCCACACATACAGTCTTTCCCATTAATGGAACAAATGGTCCTCCCTCAATACTACAGGGGAGAACTCATAAGTTTTTACTGGGAAGGGGAAACCCCAGACTTCAAAAATTGCTTTTGAGCTTAGTTCAACATTTTTCCCTTAAAACTTTATAAAGATATCACTGTCATCTTTAAACAGACAATAAGAGAATAATAAAATATACCTGAAACTGATATTCTGATTAAGAAACACTTTCTCCTCTCCTGAGAGGCTACAGAGGGAAATCTATTTTCTCAGAAAATCTTAAAAATCACTTACCCATCTACTGAATTAAGTTGGAGATTATACTGGATTGCCATTTGTAAGATAGAATCACATTAATCTTCCACTAAATCTTCCTTTCTAGTTCCTCACCAGGCAGTGAAGTATTGAAAGAGGACAATCCTCACATGGACAAAGATTAGTTGAGAGACCTTAGTAGAATCCTTCTGCTGTCAGTATAAAGTTGTTTAATTTATTTCCTTCAGTAGGAAAAGTGATGAAAATAATCAAAGAGCCCACTTTGCTAATTGTAAACAAGCATGTATACGCCTTTCCAAAAGATACATATCCAAAGTATAGTTTCCCATTTCAAAAGCAACTTGAGTCTGAAAATACTGCAAAAATGGAAGGTACTATGAAATGACAGTGAGAAATTACAAGCAGCCAACTCATTATTCAATCAAGAATTTGGCACAGTCATAAACCATGTACCATCTATTTTAATGGATCTTAATTCTCCTGCTATCAGTTGAAATTCCAAATTGCAAATTGAAGAACTCTTGCCAAAATATGATCATTTTCTCAATTTTTCTGCCTCAGAATACTGTTACAAAGCACTACAGCACACACAGTTCCATTCTTGACCTACGAGATTTATACATTCTGTAAACTGACATGTCCCTATGGTCCCTAAACCATAATACAAGGATTTACCCATTTCCAGGGAAGGTAAACATTAATGCTTATGTGCAGAAGTAAAATACGTATGCTCCACAAATAGCGGAATATCTCCAAACCGCAGTAACTATCCTAATTGTTTCATTCATACAAGCAATTTTTGAGGATAAAATATTATGTATCTAGGTTCTTTAATCAGTTTCAAGCAAGGCAAGCTCTCTAGTTGCATGGTATGTATGTCTTTAAAAACTGTCTATTACTAAGTACACAGAGCCAAATTATTAAAACTGTAGATTAGAAAGGAGCTTTCTTTTGATGTCTTTAACCACAGGGTGGCACTTTATCAACCATCACCTTTGTTTACTCCAAACCATATACCCAATACAATTTTGTGTAGTCAATTTAGATTATGGTCACTGGTGAATATCCCAAAAATTCTTTAAATGAATAAAAGGGCAATTTTTACTGACTTATGCAAAGATGAAGGAAAATTTCACCCTCTGCTTTTCATTAGCACAAGCAGTTCTTCTCTGTTACTTTCTACTAGGGGAATATTAAATTGTACCAAAAACCACATCAGATTATAGCAACTATGTTTAAATCCAACATTTCCATTTTAATAAAATTATAAATTTAGGATTATGATACATTTGTACTTCATTTCTCATTAATGAAACCTAAGATACAAATATTTATAATACGGAAAAGCAGGAAAGCACAAAATATGTCTATCTCTACTTCAAAGATCACATAACAACACTTTTTGACAAGTCTACTAAATCTGTGTTCTAGAGTTGAGATCTTGTGAAGGGGCAGATTTGGCCAAGTGACCTTAGTGAGATTTTTTGTTGAAAATATATACATACCAGATAGTTTTATAAATTCTATGATTAAAAAAAATCCAATTTGGCATTCCTGCTTATTTTGCCATTAAAAAAACAGACACAACAATGGCCAGTTAAAAAGATGTCATTCAAACCTTGAACAAGAGAGATAAACTATATCTTTTACTATAAAGCTTTTTTGGGGAGGGAAATAATCAAGCTTGACAGACAGAAAGCAAATAAAAGTACTTAACACAAAGAATAAATTATAATACTAAGTGAAAACACTTTAATAAAAAATCAAGACTGAAATTAATAGGAAAATATAATTTAATTAGGGAAAATGGTCGGTTCTAATTTTTAATTGGTGAACTCAGTTATTTTGTAAAGAAAACAAAATAAAAACAAAGAACACAAAAACCTAGCTTTCCACTCTTCTAGGTTTTAACTACCTAGAGCAAAACCATGAGGCTTTGCAAATAGTTCTTTTACTCTTTAACACCTGGGCTATCTTAAATTTGAAATTACTTTCCTTTGCTTCTAAGTGAGAAAGATTTTAGCAACAATATTAAAACACACTTGAACTTTACTGCTCAGTGCTCAGATATTACGTTAGAATAACAAATATTTATTCCTAAAACTTATCTCCACTCCTTTATTCAATAATCCTGCTTTTAAATATTATAAATATTTAATAGTACATGAATTATACATAATATATTAATGATATTTAATAATAGATGTGCTGATATATATTTATATATTAAAATAATATTTAAATATTATACCATCTCATTATTTTAGCAAACATAGCATAATACTTACTGTGTACTTTAGCTCTCTAACCATAACATAATATCCACAAATTCTAGGAATTACAAGCTCTTCTTGTAAAAATTTTAAATATTAACATTCGCTTTTGCTTTAACACCACCAAAGTAACCTGCCACAAGTTCAAGAATGTTCACTTCAGGACTATATTTCTTTATTTAAACTCTTCCCCAACCTAGCAGTAAGACAATCGAGATTAAGGGGGCTATGGCTAAGTTTTGTTGAAGGAAGCAATCTGATAAGTAACTGAAGCTACTTAGAAATTATAAAAATTATCTCTGCCAACCATGAGATAGGTGACCTGGAAATGTTCTGCAAATGGAAAACCGACAGAAAAAAATGAATGTCTCAGAAAGCAAAACTAAGTGTATGAACTCAAGAACACCGGAAATGGTAAGTGAGTAAATGTAAAATATTTCTGCTAATTTTAATTTCTTTAAACCATTTAAGAGTGGTTGTCTTGGGATGGTGGGAAGATAAGACTCTTGACCACTTTCCATTTCAATACCTTACAAAGGTCTACAATGAATTTGGAATGTCTGCTGGATATCATTCCTTTGCCTCATCAGATCCTCCCTTCACCCTGCTCATGACACCTGGAAGCTGACCTATATGGGTCAGGTCAGAAAGCTCCCTTGCCCTCAAGATTCCAATAATATATAGCTGATGGGAAGTACTAAAGAACTCTAGGAGTTTGGAGAAAGAAGAAACAGGCTGGAGTATTATTTCCTTGATTTCCTCCCTACTGAGAAATGTGCAATAAAATTTTGTATAAAACCACTGTAGTTCAAACAATGAACCAAGTGCCTAAAGAAATGCAAGAATTTTGGGGAGCCTGGGTGGCTCAGTGGGTTAAAGCCTCTGCCTTCAGCTCAGGTCATGATCCCAGGGTCCTGGGATCGAGCCCCGCATCGGGCTCTCTGCTCAGCAGGGAGCCTGCTTCCTCCTCTCTATCTCTGCCTGACTCTCTGCCTACTTGTGATCTCTGTCAAATAAATAAATAAAATCTTTAAATAAAATTATTAAAAAAAAAAAGAAATGCAAGAATTTCTACAATGACACATAGAGCATAGAAATAAAATTACATGGCATTACCTGGTCTTTTAAAAATCCTCAATAATGCATCTTTTTTTTAAGAAGTAAAGAGAAAATGGGAAGTCTTCTTAACTTACAGCTAAGTATATTGTGTTATATTATGCTATATTATGTTATTTAATTCAAACTATAGCTTAGGTAGTATTATAAAACAAAGTAGGGCCTAGTAGTAGCACATTCTAAGAACTGAGAAAGTTTGATATACTATACTTAATTTGTTTTTTTATCCTTGACATTCAGCCATTATTTTAACTTCGATAACTGTCTTAGTTTAAGAAAAATTATACTTCAAATTAATCACAAAATGTCCTACCTAAAAATAATTTAAGAAAATACAACATTCATTAAAGGCAGAGTCATTCAAAGCCATCAACCCAAGTACACACCTTACCTTGGCTTAAAATCACACAGCACTCTTTAAACCAAAATACAAAGAAATAACTGCACTTATAGGGATGATTTTACATTACCTTTTCAGAGAGAACTGGGTAAAAACCACATATATAACACAACTAAATATGAAATTATCTGTGACATATCAAAATCAATTAGGCAGTAGAATTTTTGAAATATAAATATAGATGGGTGGGTTTTTGTTGTTGTTGTTGTTGTTGTTGTTGTTTTTACCTGTTTTGCAATTTCTCTTAAACAGGCTACTCCTTGTTCAAAATTAGGGAAAGCTACTGAGCCATACTTTTGGTATTCAGGGATTGGTCTGATTTTTATTGTAGCTTCTGTTATCACACCAAGAGTTCCTGAAAAAGAAGGGGGAATAATCCAATATATCACATGCCAATTTTCTAAATCATATTTAAATCTATTTTATCTATTTATTCTATTAATTTATTCTATTCATATTTAAATCTATTTATTCTACGTGGGGAATAATGGCTACTCCAGTCTTTTTAGAAAAATAACTAAACAAATTTTATACTTTCTAAAAAAAAAAGGTTTTGGATACATTTTCTTATGTTATGTATAAATACTTTAAAACATTTTTAAGGTAACCTTCCTACAAGAAGGTTACTTTTAAATAGTTTTTAAAGTATTACAACCTATTAAAAGAAAAAAATTTTTAAAAACAACAGGTTTGTATACCTCAAACATTCAGACAAAAGTATATTTTGATATTTGTGCCTACTTTCACTGTGAGAAAAATTTGCTGGGGCAAAAAGAAAATTCTATGAGAATTTAAAAATGATAGAAGAAATTAGAGGGACTATTATTACCCTGCCTTTTTGCCTAGGAATTCATACGAATACATGGCAATACTAAGATGCCCTTGTAAGACACAAAAAAACCCAGATATTTCAGAGACAGAGTAGTTGCCATAAATACCTAGTACAAGAGAACCACCAAAGAAACAAATGCTCTTTCCTTATGTGGAAATTTCCTCCTTACATGGAGGAGAGACAAACCAAAGAGGAGAAAAGCAAGTTAAATATAAACTACATTCTATGAGATCTAAATAACTATGCTAAAATATCTGAAGAGACATGGTTAAAATGATTATATTCACAAAGCCAAGCTTTTCAAATTAGTGGTTTCTGATGTACAAATGGTAGAAATTATTAATACTATTAGTAAATTTTCTGAGAATGATGTAAAAAAGAATCAAGAAAGAGGGAAATCTCTGAATTGGAGAACTTAATGATAACAACAGAAATAAATAAAAAGTATCACAAAAATCAAAGCTCCCAGTAAATTTATAATACACCCAAAATGTCAATACAGGATACAAGATTAAAAACTAAGAGTTCATTAAAAAGTAAATTACATTAGATCACAGTATGCTCATCACATATACAAATGATTGCCTACCAAGATATCAAATATGGCCCTATTATAATTTTTAAATCACAAAAACTCTGCAAGTCTGGCCCAATTAGTATTAAAATAAAAAGTAAATATATCTTATAAATTTTAAAAGATCACAAAAGTGACTAAGGCTTTATCTTTTATTTCAGCATCTTTATTGAAATATAATTCACAAACCATAAATTTCACCCATTTAAAGGGTAAAACTCAGTATGTTTTCAGTATAATCACAGATATATGCAACTATCATCAAAATCTAAGCTTAGGGGGCACCTGGGTGGCTCAGTTGGTTAAGCAACCAACTCTTGATTTCAGCTCAGGTCATGATCTCCGAGTCATGGGATCAAGCCCTGTGTTGGGCTCTATGCTCGGTGCGGAGTCTGCTTGTCTATCTCCCTCTGCTCCTTACTGCCCCCCCCACCCCAGCTCACTCTCTCAAATAAATAAATAAAATCTTAAAAAAAAAAAAATTCTAAGTCTAGAACATTTTTAATACCCCCCAAAAGAAACCCTGTACCCATGAAATAGCCATTCTCCATTTCCCCACACATACACTTCAGCCCTAGACAATCATTAATCTCGTAAATCTCTATAAGTCTCTACAAATCTATAAATCTCGTAAAATCTCTATAAATTTGCCTATTCCGGACATTTCATATAAATGGAATTTTACAATATGTGGTCTTTTGTGACTGGCTTCTGTTTTCAAGATTTATCCCTATTATAGCATGTATTAGTACTTATTCTTTTTTAATTGTGGACTATTACTCCATTGTATATATAACTCATTTTGTTCATCTATTCATTAGTCAATGGACATTTGGGTTTCCACATTTTTTTAAAATATAAAGCACACACACACACACACACACACACACACGATGCATAGGGCAAAGTATGAGGGGGGGGGCTCAGAGTTCCTATGCCCTCTGCAGATGCACCACCCTCCCAGCACCTCCATGTGTTCACCATCCTGCAAGCTCCCTGAAACTCACATTTTAGTGATTTTTATGGAGGCTTCAATACATGGGCATGATTGATTAAACCACTAATTCAATGTCCAGTCCCTCTCCCCTCCCTAGAGCTGAAAGTTCCATAGGTTTCCACATTTTGGCTACTTCATATGAATAATGCTACTGTGAATATACATGTAAATTTATATACATATTTTTGTGTGGATGTATGTCTTCCTTTCTCTGGAATATATACATGAAGACTTTTTTAATTTTAGAAAAACCTCTGGTCCTAGTCCACATTACCCTACTCTCCGCCACCTTTTCCTAAGGCTACATTCTGGGCAAGTACCACCAAGAGATTAGGGGAATGGGAAGGAAGTTAGTTCCCTTCTTGTACCCACCTGGTGGGACAGAGGCTCTACTGGAGTGACACACTAATACTAGGGTCCCAACTGCCCTTAGCCTGGCTTGTAAGAGATGGCATCTTGCCAGGAGAAGCAAACCAAGAAAATCTGTTTTCCTTTCCCCTTTTCCCTAGCACTCAGCTACCAAAGTAGGGATGTCCTCAGAGAAAAGCATGCCATTGCTCCCCTCCTGAGCCATGCTCAGAGACTCAGAAGCTCAGAGACTCAAGCTCGGAGACTTGGTCTCAAGGGGCTGAGGAGGGAGGTGGGGAAGGGAATACAAGCCAAGAAAACAGTTCCTAATCTCTTTCTAAAGAAAATTATTTTGTTTGCAACAAATAGAGCATGGAAAAGTTCAAGCCTAAGAGCACTCTCAAAACGTGGAGGATGTGGTAAAAGGCAACTGGGAGGACATAGGTAAATTTATTGTAGATAAAGGCAACACTGTATGCCAGTTAGCTTGCTTATATAGAAACAGTGCGCAGGATGCCAAATATGCCTCAAGACGCCAAATATGCTCAGAAAAGAATCCCAAACACTAACCTCAGGAACTATCCCTTCTAAGAGATACACTTACAATGGGTGAATTTTACGGCATGTGAATTATATTTCAATGAAGCTATTAAAAAATAACTATGATAAGTTAATTAATTCTCTAAACGAATTACAAATGAAACTTCAGAGTTTTTTTTTTTAAATAAGGAGCTAACAGTTATACATTGTGCAAATTGGAAAATTTGTATTTATGCTATAAAAGTATCTTATGCTATAAAAGGCACCTAAAAGAACTTCTAAACCTTTGCCAGAGAAGAGGCAAAAGGCTGACAAGTAAACTACTAGTCCCCTCATCCACCAGTACAGAATTATTTACCACACTTGTTCATTCCCATCAATACAAGTGGTATCACTTTAATTTTTAAAGTTGCTAATTTTCCTACCACTATGCTGACAGTACCACTAAGCTTATTTGTAATTCTTTCAACCCTTTTTACATTTATAGAAGCTCCTGGTAGCCTTGGAATTAACACCTCATGTTAAATGTCCTTTCTACAAACGAACTGAAATTTGATAGGCATATAATCCTAAACACAGGAATCATCTCTATTTAACTCTAATCTGACCACAGATTACAGAACACTTTAATAAATACTTGCTGAAACTCAAAAGTCACCAGATTGAAATCCATTAAGGAAAAGGTCAGAATAAGCCATGATTGCAGACAGGAACACTTTTCTTCTTAAAACTAAACTCCAAGTTCCCAGGTTTTTGTGAAATCTTTCCTTAACATCTGAGAAATGGAGCCATTTGAAAATCCTTCTTTGAATTAAAGCATATAATATTATCTAATACAACTTAAATATAATCCAGGAAAAAGCTGGAAACCATTTAAATGCCAATCAATGAGGGTCTGGCTAGTGTACAGTCAGTAGCTGTCGAAAAGAATGAAGTGGCTCTAAACGTAATAATATGGAGTAAGCTTTACAAAAAGAAGTGCGAGCAGAGTAGTAAAATCCTGTTTGTGCTTTTAAAAGAGCATACATACACACTTAAATATAGCACAAAGTGTTTACTGTGAACAAAGGAAATGATCTGAAGAAGGGATAGAAGCAGATTTCCCATTATACATCCTTAAAACCTTTTGAATTTTGTACATCTGTCCATATTTTAATTTTGTGCATGTAATTACTATATTCAAAAAGTTTATTTTAAAATATATATACCTTTACATTAGCAAACTTCTTTTAAAATTCTAATTCTACAGTGGAAAGTGACCATGCCTTAAACTTCTGCCTACCTGTATTGCTTCCTATGTAGAGTAGGCACTCTCAAGTAATAAAACCCACCATAACATTATAAGTGAGGTTAAAAAAAAAAAAAAAAATTGTAAAGTGAAACTCTGCATTATCACAAGGTTAATGAAATGCCCAAACCAAGTCTCTGCAACTATCCAGCTATGAGTCTACAGGGGGTCCCACTGTGAAAGCAAAGTTACCCAGGTCTCAGAGAGCAGCTTCCATTCAAGTTCCATTCAAATTAGCCCATCACAAATGGATATATCTAAATTCACTCAATCAAATGGCTCATTTCTGTTGTGTTTTATTATATTTAATAATTCTTTTGCTTTGGGAATGTTATGCCAGTGGAATGATATAAAAGACTTGAATTATTATACCTTGAATATATGTACAATATATCACTTTATACCCTTATATTTTAAATCTACTTTATATAATTGCTTATAAATAATTCCATGGCAATATGACATCACAGAGGCTTATACATCATTCACTTTTCTGTTTCATCAAAACTACACTACAATAAATTTAAGAATTTTCTAATCTATAATTTTCAAATACAATGTTTCTTCTCAAGAAAACTGAAAGCTTCACGTGCTATTTGATATAAAATGCAAGTATTTGCTTAAAGTAAATAAATTCTTTTGTAATTTAACAATATACTTTCAGGTGACTTCAGGACTAAGAAGAATGTAAGTCATTTGACTCTGAATCTTCCCCCTCTCTCTCTACCTTCCCCCACCCCAAAACATAAAAATCAACAAGAAACAGAAAACCATAAATAATATTGAAATAAAACTTTCACCATTACTAGGAGACAAAAAAACCACTCTGACCTTCACATTACTTGTTAAATAGAGATAAAAAGAAAAAATTCCGAAAGACCTACTATAGCCTTCTGCTGCAAGTTTCTAAGGGTAGAAAGTAAGGGGAGGCTTAAAAGATTTTATATGGAAAAACAGAGTATCTGAGGACCTGGAGAAAGCAAAGACAAAATCAACCACAGACACCAAAAGTGCAACAATAACACCAAAATCCTGTACAGGGAAATCCATAGCCCTGGCTATGGGGAGGGGTCTGAAAATGGGAAGAACTAGAAAGGCATCCTTAGAGAGACAAGAGGAGTATTTTCAGAGAAGCATTATATTCAGAGAAGTGTTGTACTCCTTGGAGACAAAGTAATGATGGGAAAGAATGAAGTAAGAGAGGGAAATTAAAGATCCTATAGAAATAAAAAAGAAGACATGCCATGCCTTCTCCCACCAAAATACCACCATCCACAAAACAAGTAGCACAAGAGAAGGAAGTAGCACAGGAAAAGACATTCCCAAACTAGGAAACACTTTCTAAGTAATAAATAGCAATAGAAAAAAGCAGACCAAATCCACAAAAACTACTAGAAAAAGACAAAATGTAAATAAAAGCTTTTCTGATCATGAAGTCTCTCTCCTAAACCAACCATGATCCTGAAAAGAAAACAGTAATAAACATCTCAAACTGAATTAAATATTGCCAAGCAAGCCTTTGGGGATATTAAAAATAAAAAAACCAAACCTGAATCAGAAATACAATCATCAAAAGTCAGCAAAAAACAAGAAGAAATGAAATGAGAGATGACTAATGTCAGGAAAGAAAAAGAGCAGCAACAACAATAAAACGACATATAAAAAATGAAGGCTAAATTATAAGGTATCCAAAGGAGAATAGAGAATAGATTCAAATGAAGACTTGATAAAGGGCACTAAAGAAGAGCAGGAAAATAATGAAGGGAATGAAAATGAAATAAAGAAAAAAGCTGGGGAATAAAAAAGGGTTAGTCACTCCCTGAAATGCCAAACAAACACTGTCAAGCATAGTATAATTGGTGTCTCTGAAGAAGAAAAATCAAAACAAAGGGGGGGAACCCCTAACCCCTAATATTTAACAGTAGATCCAAAAAAACTTTCCAGAAAGAATAAAAGATGTAAATGTAAACATAGAAAGGGTCCACTGGGTGCCATGTTAAACAACACAGAACAATCAACTCTGAGCTATAAAAGTAGTAGACTTCAATAATTAAAAAATCCTCAGGACACTCAGGCAAAAAGATGGAAACAATCCACAAAGGCAAAAGAACTAGCATTAGATTTCTTTAAAGCAACATATAAAACCAAGCAACACTGGAGCAGCATTTTCAAGAATGAAGGAAACAAAGTGCAACCCATGGACATTATAACCACTCAAGCTGTCTTACAAGTGTCAAGGTCATACAAAAGGTAAAATTACACAAAAGGACTGATAATAAGCATTTCACTTATTTCGACATAGAGCAAAGACGAAAACAAGGGTGGGTCATAGGCTTAAAAAAATAAAAATGTAGTTTTAACCATTTTTCAAATGAAAGAACGAATTATTTTGAGTTACTAGTAAATTTCATATATAAGAAAAGATGTAAAGCATTTCAGAGGCTTTGACTATTATAGTGTCTAAAATGGAAGGAAGCTGCTAATTGAAAAAAATCATTACGAAAAATCCGTAACACAAGATAAAAACATTAAATTCAACATGGTTAGTCACATGTAGAACTTAGTAGGATCAGAAAAATACGTTCTAGGGGCACCTGGGTGGCTCAGTGGGTTAAGCCTCTGCCTTCGGCTCAGGTCATGATCTCAGGGTCCTGGGATCGAGCCCCACATTGGGCTCTCTGCTCAGAGGGAAGCCTGCTTCCCCCTCTCTCTGTCTCTGCCTGCCTCTCTGCCTACTTGTGATCTCTAACTGTCAAATAAATAAATAAAATCTTTGGAAAAAAAAAAAAGAAAAATGCATCCTTTAATGATAATGCTTTCAAGGCTATCATGAGATAATTTTAACTATAGCAAAAAAAATTTTTTTTTAACTTGAAGAAAAGTATATGATTCACATTTAAGGCAGAAGGTAATTATTAGATGGCTCAAGACAACAGATAAAAATACATATTATGAAAGAACATGAACTTGTTGTGATGAGTACCAGGTGATACACAGAAGTGCTGAATCACTATACTATACTATACTCCTGAAACTAGTATTATATTGTATGCTAACTAGAATTTAAAAACGTAAAAAAAATAAAATTCTAAAGTAAAAAATAAAATAAAAAAGAATATGATTTCACATAAATTAACTTTCTCAATCATGCTGTCTCCCAGCCTGCATTAAGATGACTCTATATCCACATATATTGGGATGGGGATTAAGGACTATACTTGTATAGACTATACTTGTAAAGACCACTGATGCCAAAATAATAAATAGCAACAACAGTAATAAACTTAACACTTGTTGAGTATTTACTAAATGCTTATAGACTGCTTATCATAATCTCATTTAATCCTCACAAAAGCTTATGAAAATGGTTTCTTTTTATTATCCTCATTCTATAGCTGAGAACACTGGCATAGAAAATTACCTAATTTACACAAAGTCACAGAAATTTATGTGGTGGAACCAGAACTGAAATCCAGATCTGAAAGATTTCATCATTCATGCTCCTAAATCATTTTACATATATGTGTATAATAAAATCTCATTTAAATACAGTAATTTGCCCTAGTATATGTTTAATAAATCATATTTCTTTGCTTCCTCTATTATGAGTTTACCTTCCTTAAATTCAGAAAATAATTTATTATTGAGAGAGGTAGTCTAGTCATTTAGATACATTTTAAACTATTTTAAAAGACATAAAAGACCAAATTCTCTCTCCAGTTACCCTGTAACCCTTACCACTCTACCCTAGACTTACCGCCTACTACACTCTTATAGCTATCTTATGTTCCTGTTATACTGAAAACCCGGCAGCTTCGCAACGCAGAGATGGCTCTTTTCACTTTAAGTCTGCCCACCTGCAGTTCTCTCTGCAGGGCAACTCCCTCACCACCTTATTCCGTCAACTCCTATCAACCTTCAAGGACCACTTTAGGCATGGCCCCTCTGAAGAGGTCTTCTTAAGCACCCATTAATATGAACTTTGTCTGTATTTCTCCTAAATTTACTTCTAATCATACAATTTATCATACTATATTATAAAGGTCAATTGTTACCTGTGTCCCTTCAGTGTGCCAGAACAGTACCTAGCACCAAAAATTTTTAAAATACTAAGCGAAGGGAGAAAAAAATGTCTGATATAGTTACTTAAAAAGATCATTTATATTTACAGAGTTGACTCCAACTATGTATGCACCAAGAGTATAATTAATAACTCTCAGTTTTAATACCTATTTGTTACTCAATTTGACACCAGGTGGCAAAAGGTTATATATCTTAGTTTACTTTTGGATGATGTGTTAGTATTAGAAGTTGCAGAATATTTACCAAAGAACTATATTATTTTAAGGGAATTTAACATTTTTCTCATAAAAATGTAGTTCTATTTTTCCACAGAAGACTATACTGATCAGAAAAGAAATAAGAAAGTAAACTGGTGAGACATCTTGACAAAGTTTATCATTGATTATCATGAAAAAATATTTAAGCTATATCACTGCTCATCAAATCAACAGTTGACCTCTAACATGTCACTGAGACATAGTTTGTTGTATTTTCCCTCCTCGATGTTTCTATCAAAAGACAGGACTGATGTCCTATCATCCTAGTTTATTATAATTGCTCTCTCATCCATGAATACAGCTAAACATTTCAAAAATCTCTTTTTTAGCTTGTACCATCTTCTAAATTAGTAATGAGTTCCTCCACTAAGTTAGAGACACTTGTTTTATCTTATTTCTCTGAATTTAAGGGATATCCCTCTCTACTATTCTAAGAATTAAAAAACACGACTATGTTCATCTTATCCATAACATTTACCTCAGAACAGTTAGTTTGCAAAATAGAAGGTCAGTTTTTTCCTGATCAGTACAGCAATTAAATGTGAGATAAAGAACTACATTCTAATCAACCCAGCGTTAAGTAACCAAGCAAAGAATAGTAAATAGTTAAAAAAAAAATACAACATACGTTTTAAAAGATATATAAATCAACAGGATTTTAAATTCCACTTCTTCAAAGAATCAAATAGCAAGTAATAAAAAGTACAACTACAGAAAGGCAAGACACTAAGACAATACTTTCTCAGCTCTTTCCCACTGAGAAGTCAGGCAAGGTTAGAGAATACTATTATATATAAAATTTTAAAGCAAACCATTTTAAATCTTAACTACTCTTCCTAAAAAACTGTAAAACAAAAATAAAATACCAAAAAGGCTAACTTATCTCTAAAACTATAAAAAAACCAAAATGTAAAAGGACGTTTAATAAGATGTTCTCATAATAAAAACTTTATGAAGTACTAAATTAAAGTAATAAAACTTAAAAAAAAATCACCATTCTTTAAATATATAAAACGTGTCTTTCTTTCAAAGATCTTATATCACAATATCACAGATTTTCACAAAACTGAGTCACTAACCTGTTATTTTTTGTAATAAATTTAGTTATATTTACCTTCAGATCCCATGATGAAGTGATGGATATCAGGGCCTGTTGACATACGAGGTCCTTGACAGCTTTTTTCTATTATACCTCTAGGTGTTACCATTTTTATATGAACCACCTGTTTAATACAATACATGATGTAAAGTCTACATATTTGTCAGTGAATGTTGTGCATGTGTGTACACACAACCATCTATATTTATTAAAAAAACTCTACTTTTAAAATAATAGATTAAGTGATAAATGGTGACACCCTTCAGAATTCTAATATCTTTTAATAATTCTTAGACTAAAAATAAATTTTATATAACTTTAAAAGAAGAAAAAATCATTCTAAGATTGTTACTGATTTGGGTATGTTCATCACCTTAAAAAAATGAAAAGCACTTTTCTTTAAACCAAATTTAGTCTAGGATTATCCATGTGGCAAAAAACTAAAGGACGAAAAAAATAATGATCATATTTTAATAGGTTCATTCTTTTACTTAATTTTGAATGAAACAATATTAAGCACATCAAGCTGCTTCAATGCTTAGAATTCTAAGAAAAAATTTACTCTTGCCTTATTCCCACCCTCAATTTATCTACTTTGCCCACTTAGAAGAAAAGAATGAAAAGAATGAAGTATTAATTATAATCAGGTAAAAAATGGGATGAAGAGGGAGATGTAGTGATTGAACTGAAAAGAAGAAAAGATAGATGCATGTGATACAAGTCTCACACAAGTGAGAATGTAAGCATACTCGAGGGAGAGGGTCACTCAAAAATAGTTCCTGAAATTTAAATCAGGAAATAGTTAGGTGAAAATCCAACACATTTTTACAACAGCTTTTTGACAGATAAACAAAAATAGTCTATTTATTATTTAAGGAAATGAGCAGAGGACATCAATAAACAATTCACAAAATAGAAACCAAAAATCACCAATGAAGACATTTTAAAAGGATACATTCACTGGCAATTAAAGAAATAAAAAAATTAAAAAGACAAAAATATAAATAAAGGGTCCAGTGAAAGAAATAGTCTCATAGTGCTAGTGGGAATGCCAATTGGCACAAATTTCTACAAAACATTTTGGCGATAAAAATTCAAAGACTTAAAAAACATATATAAATGTCTTGATTCAACAATTCAAGCCTTAGGAACTTCCCCAAAGTGATTAAAGATGTATACCAAGGAAATTACCAAAGAAGATATTTTCCTCTTTGTTTCCTACAATTTTGAAATCAAGAATAACTTAAAATATTCACTAATTGGGAATTACTTTAATAAACCATGAATTACCAGTAAAAGAGAATTATACACAGTCTAAAAATGATAGTGTATAAATACATTTGTCTTTGTTCTTTTACAAGTTAATATATTGATAACATAGTCTAAAGAGATTAAACACAGCATGATCCTTTTTTGTATCAAAAGCTAGATACACACATGCAAATAAGCACATTAGGATATATGCTTATAATCTGTGGTCCTTAAGGCTCTCCAAAAAAGGGATAAAATAAATTACATGCTTTAGCAGTACTAAATGTAGCAGTCTATCACATGTTAACTATGATAAGGTTTTTAATAATCCAATAGTAAAAGGATCAAATTCTCTCCTCTGAAATTGGATGTTATTTTATTTGCAAAAGGAAAAATGTGATTTCTAAAATATCCTCAATTAAAAAAAAAAACAGGATAATGTGAACATTTTAAGTGTTTATAATATACACTTATAATAATTCCATGCAGTGAATATCATTATTCTACTTTACAGAAGAGGAAAGAAGTTTAGAAAGGTGAACCAATTTGTACAAGGTCACACAACTAATTACTGGAAAAGGTACACATGGAACAAATGATATCTAATCCCTAGTCAGAATGCCCACAGTTATACTATTACCACACTAACTCCCAGAACACTGGCACCAGATCAGCTAAAATAAAATGGTGTGCACATAAACCACTACAGGTCATATTGCCACCTACTAGAACCTTTTCAATTAGGCTAATTCCATAGAGAAAAAAATTTTTTAAGAGAAGTAAGTATAAACTCTCCAAGGCAAGAGTGGCAATGATGAGATCATCTAAATAAACGGACTAAAACCTTGGTGGACTTGAAGACTGAGGCTCCATGAGGCTTATAAAATAATGTTTATATATTTTATAAGTCAGATACTATGAAGCATCTATAAAGCTGAAATATCAGTCACTTGAAAAGGAGCACCTGTAAATAATGACCCCAGTGGTCTTTAAACTGCTTCTATTACACACAGTCAACTTCGCTATAATCAAAAGGGGTACACTTTTGAGAAGACCCTACCATACAACTCTAAAAAAGGCTTTAATCATTTTATAGTAATATACTAATCAATTATAACATAGTAACCAGAAAAAAATTTACCAGGTCCTCAATATTGCCATAGATATTCTTCTTCATGCCCGATGCCCGAGTAGAAACCCATCCTCCCACGGTGCTGAATTCCAGTGAATCTGGTTCATGACCTGTACAATAACCACTTTCTTTAAGCTGAAAAACAAAAAATGTAGTATTTTACTAGTGAAAATCAGGCTATTTCATATAGCATTCAACACATTAATTTTTTTCAGTGTTCCAAGATTCACTATTTATGCACCACACCCAGTGCTCCATGCAATCCATGCCCTCCTTAATACCCACCACCAGGTTCGCCCGCGTGCCCACTCCCCTCCCCTCCAAAACCTTCAGTTTGTTTCTCAGAGTCCACAGTCTCTTATGCTTCACACTTTAAAATTTCCAAATGTCACTGGTATTTGGACTCATTAAAACCCATATTAAAAAAAGAAGTACTTTTATCATGCTCATCCAAAAAATTTTTTAAGCTTTTGCCCAGTGGAAAACTTTATAAAACTGAAAAATGTGGACCAAAAGACGTACTTGCTAGCCAATCTTATTCCTTTCATCCTTTTAAAATAAAACCAACTGCCGTCCCCACTTTTTTTTTTTTTACCACAAAGAGATAATTTAAATACTTACGGAGATCAGATTATGTTTAAATAACTGCCAACTTCACCTAAACACTTTCAATAAATAAAGCACTTAATCTCTTGTTTTCCCTACCCTAACATAATATGCAGCAGGCCTGCAGAAAATCTAAGCAAATTGCCTGTACTTAATTCTCTCAAGGAGTCATGTGTTTTAATGTACAGCCATCTGGCTAGGTTTCCTGCATGTAATACCGTCATTTATTTGTGATGCAGATCATGCATTCCTGTACATTAAATAGTCACTTGTTTCTCATTTTTCTATATTAGCTTGGCTTTGCCATCTGCACAGCACCTGAAGTTGAATGGATGCCCTTTACTGCAACACCACCAAAGCCATTCCACTGAAATCATTTTAAAGACTCAGGCATCTCATGTCAAAAGCTACAGACACCACCATCTGCACACTCACTGTCTACTGCACTCAAGCCCATCAATCTGTATTGACTATTTTGATAGTCATCCAGTTAAGCAACTGCTTCTATTTTTCAAGTAAGCCATGCAGAGATGTAGAATATGTCAGCTATGTTTGTATCTGTAAGTATGGTGTAAAAGTTGTGATCCAAACTGAGAGAACTTAATAAGTTAAACATAATTTGTTAGCTTTTGCACATAAGCATGGCAAATTATCTTTTCTAACATTTTTGCTAGAAAAACAGAATTTAAAAAGATATCAATTATTAATAATAAATTTCACTAAATATTCAAGGTGTTTAATTTTAAGAAATTACTAACTACTCACAAAGAAGTAGCTTAAATATATGAATGAACAATTTAAAATGAAGATCATCAAATTGCTATTTTATAGTTCTTCCTGAACTCCCAATCTATATTCATATTATTTACTCTCAAAAAAGACTACTGTTACCCAATTTTTCTGAAATTAGCAGAAAAAGGAAAAACACTAATAGAGCACTTAGATATCCTAAGCACTAAACAGTGAGTTTTCATATATTCTGATGACAAAATCTCCACATTACCTACACCAAAGCAAATTAAATCTAAACTACTTCTGTAAGTATATCCAATGTTACATATAATTTGCCTCTTATGCCTGTAGGTTTACTTCATTACCTTCCTCATTTATAAAGTGGCTGCCACAAGCCAGGAATTATGTAAAGCAATGAAAATGAGGATATAAAAAGAATGGGGGAAAAAAAAGACAGTCTCTATGCTCAAGGACCTCGACTTAGCACACCATTTTAAATTACTACTTTGTTAAAATCTGACTAACTTCCTACTAGGTAAGTGAAGTAAGTGTAATGGTTAAGAACCTGAACTTGAAACTTGCCATTTATGCTTGCTAGAAAATCTGCACGTTACAGTACACTTATTAATAGGAAACAATTTTTGGCATATGGTTGGGTGCTTAATAAATGGTATCTATGACCACATACATTCAGCCACTTTTTCTTCTAAAGGCTGTGTTTTGTTTTTGTTTTTAAGATTTTATTTATTTATTTGAGAGAGAGTGAGAGAGCACAAGAGTCGGGTAAGAGGCAGAGGGAGAAGCACACTCCCCGTTGAACAGGAAGCCCGATGTGGGGTTTGATCCTGGGAGTCTGGGATCAGGACCTGAGCCCAAGGCAGATGTTTAACCAACTGAGCCACTCAGACACCGCTTGCTGTGTCTTTGTTAATGCCATTAGCTGCTGGAAAATCTGAACAAAGGTTTACAGATTTAACTCATATAGTTAATCAAATATCCTTTTTTAATAAAATAAAATAACCTCTCCTCTCCATCTATATCCCATAAAACAGAATAAGAAATTTATCTTACTCATTTCTGTACTCCCATTCAATATTAAAACAACAAATACTTACTATGTTCTAGGCATGAGACACATCACTAAGAGCAAATTCTAAATTGCAGAGCTTGTTATTATATAGAAAGAGAAGGAACTGAACTTAACAAGAAACATAATTAAATAAATACAGAATAATTAGAAGTATAAAGGAAAAAATTAAAAGTGCAGCAGAGTCATTCATCCAAGTTCAAGTAAAAGGAACTAGATTTATCCTCTCACATGAAAAAAAAAAAAACCCTGAAAAAATATAAGATACTAAAGTCTTTAAATAACTGGACATGCGGTAACAAAGGGCTATGATCCCTTGAGAAAGCAAACAAAGGAAGTGAATACTATGAATGCCCCTTGCTTATGCTCCAGATGGTGATACAGGGAAAGAGAATCCAAGCACAACTCTGGCAAACACTGTGTGTGAGGTAAGGAGACTGAGTCTGAAGTTGTGGGAAACCAAAGCATATAAAATTCACAAGAGAAAGTACTGAAGAGAAGAGAGCAGCAAAGAGAGAAAACCCTGGAGACTGGCAGAGGGTCCCCTTTAAAGTAGTCAGCAGAGTAATGAAAAGCACATATAAGTGAGGAAACTACCCAGGATGAAAGTTAAAAACAATGCAAAGGATTAGAGAAAAGTACTAGCACTCATACAGGGCCAGAAATCTGTTCCCACCAGCCTGACTTGGAAAATTTTTCCTTCACAAAGCATGAGATAGAACATCCAAGATGGTCATTCCTCAGTAATGAGAAATGATTAGTTTTAAGACTGAGCACTGCTTCTGAATCCACCTAAAAGATCACAGAAGCAAGAACTAAAGAATCAAACTATATCCAAATATCTATATCCCAGAAAAAAAAGCTCAAGAATATTTATAGAACTGAAAAACATCCAAGACCTAACAAGATGATATTCACAATGTCTGGTACTTAATAAAAAATTGCTGGGGCACCTGGGTGGCTCAGTGGGTTAAAGGCTCTGCCTTCGGCTCAGGTCATGATCTCAAGGTCCTGGGATCGAGCCCCACATCGGGCTCTCTGCTCAGCAGGGAGCCTGCTTCCCCCACTCTCTCTGCCTGCCTCTCTACCTACTTGTGATCTCTCTCTCTCTCTCTGTCAAATAAATAAATAAAATCTTAAAAAAAAAATTGCCAAGTGTACAAGGAAGCAAGAAAACACAACCCCTAATGAGGAAAACAATATTATGAGGTAAATAATCAAAACCAACCCAGAACTAACACAGATGTTAGAATTAGCTGACCAGGACATTAAAACAGTTACTTAACTGTATTCCATATGTTCAGAGTAGAGACACAGAAAATATAAAAAGACCCAAATTAAATATCTAGAAAAGTAAGAAATACAATGTTTGAGATAAAAAATATACTTAGTGGGGTTAAGAGCAGAATATATTCAGCAAATAAAAGATTCGTGAACTCCAAGATGTAGCAAAAGAAATTGAAGAAAAAAATGAGAAGAGCAGCAGTAAGCTGTAGAACTTCAAACAGCCTAATATATAAGTAAACAGAGTCCCTAAAAGTCAGGTGGGGGAGGGAGAGTCAGATAATTGAAGAAATAATAGCCCCAAATTTTCCAAACGTGATGAAAAGTATAATCGCACAAATAAAAGAAGCTCAACAAAGCCCCAGTGTAAGAAATACGGACACAAAAAAAACCCTACACCAGGGTCTATCACAATCACATAACTCAAAGCAGTTATAAGAAAATCTTAAAAGCAAAACAGAGGGCAAAAAAACCCACAGAATGTACAAAGGGACAAAGATAAAATTTATAGCCAGAAACACTAAAGTGAGGTAACAGTGAAGCATTATCTTTATATTACTGAAAGAAAAACACTATCAACTTATCATTCTATACTCAGTTAAAATACCTTTGAAAAAACAGAAAAGTAACCTTGAACTATTAAGCAATTAAAGCAAGACAGCAGGACACATGATTAATATACAAAACTCAATTGCTTTCCAATATACCAACAAGCAACAAGTGGAATTTAAAAATAAAAACATAATGCCATTTACATTAGGCCCACCAAAATGAAATACTTAGGTATAAATCTAACAGATACATTACAAAATCTATAAAGAAAAGTCAAAGTTTTAAATAAATGGAGAGATATATTCCATGTTTATGGAAGACTCAATATTATCATGATGTCGGTCCTTCCCAAATTGATCTACAGATTCAGTGTAACAAACCCCATCAAAATCTCAACAAGGTATTTACAGATATTAACTGATTCTAAAGTCTATATGGATGGGCGCCTGGGTGGCTCAGTGGGGTAAGCGTCTGCCTTCGGCTCAGGTCATGATCCCAGGGTTCTGAGATTGAACCCCACCATTGGGCTCCCTGCTTAGCAGAGAGCCTGCTTCTCCCTCTCCCTCTGCCTGCCGCTCTGCCTACTTGTGCTCTCTCTCTGTCAAATAATTATATAAAAAATCTTGAAAGTCTATATGGAAAGGGAAAAAACCCAGAAGAGCCAACACAATTTGAAAGGTAGTCTTTTCAACAAATGGTGCTGAAATAACTGGATATCCATATGCCAAAAAAAAAAAATGAACTTCAATCCATCCTTTACACCATACATAAACATTAACTCAGAATCTTCAAAACTCATCAGAGACTTGAATGGAAACCAAAAACTATGAAACTTAAATGGGAGAAAATCTTTGTAACCTTAAGTAAAGCAAAGATTTCAAGATATGACAGCAACACCATGAAATATAAAGTAAAAAATACATTATGGAATTCACCAAAATTAAAAAGATCTATTCTTCAAAAGACTGTTAAGAGACTGAAAAGACAAGCCAAAGGCTGGGAGAAAATATTTGCAAAGCATAGATTGGCAGAAGGACTTCGATCCAGAATATGTAAAGAATTCTCAAAACTCAATAAGAAAACAAACAAACCAATTTAAAAATTAGAGAAACAACTTTAACAGATACTTCACCTTTAACGGATGACAAAGAGCACTTGTAAAGATCACTAGACACTAGAGAAATACAAATTAAAATCACAATGAGATACTATAACACATCAAGTAGAATGACTAAAACTTAAAAGACTAACATTAACAAGTACTAGAGAGGATATAGAGAAACTGGAATTCATACACAGTGCTAGTGGGAATATGAAATGATGCCCTGTGGGAAAATGTTTGGTAGTTTTTCAAAAAGGTAAGTATATCCCTACCACTTGATTTAACCACTTCATTTCAAAATATCTACCCAAGAGAAATGAAAACATATGTCCATACAAGGATTTGCACATGAATGTTCACAGCAGCTTTACTTGAAATAGCCCCAAATTGTAAATAATCTAAGTGTTCATGGATAAATGAACAGTGGTATAGCTATACAATGCAATACTACTGAGCAATAAAAAGGAACAAACTAATTGATACATGCAACAATATGCATGAATCTCAAACTAATTATGCCTAGTGAAGGAAGCCATACCCTCAATCCCCCCTCAGAAAGAGTACCTGATTAGTTTTCAGTAAAATTGTAGGACAATTAAACAAATCTACAGTGATAGAAAGCAGATCAACTTCCAGAACTGTGACACAACACACTTATGTTATTTAAAAAAAAAAAAAAAGGCAGATCAGTGATTGTCAGGGGTGGAGGGTAAGGGTTGGGTGGAGAGAATCATAAAGAAGCAAGAGGAAATCTTTGGGTTTGGTACAGTGTTTACTATTGTCATTGTGGTGATGGTTTCATGATTGGACTCATGTATCAAAACATATCAAATTGTATCTTTAAAATAAGTGCAATTTACTGTATGACACTTCTACCTCAATGAAGTTACTCTACAACAAATCCATAATTGACATGTTAATGACCTCCCTTAAATTGTACACATAATAAAATCAACATAATTTACAAACTAAAAAGAGATTAAAACATGTGCTACCCAACTACAATCTTTGTGTCATTTTAAAATTTCTAGAAGGAAAAAGCAGGATGTTTTAAGCTGGTTACCTCAGCTTATTAAGAAACTGAAGAGTACAGAAGTTTAATGAGGAAGAACTTGAACTGGGATGAAAATGGCTGTAGAAACTACATTACAGTTTACTGGAGGCAAAAAAGAAAGTTCTATATTGGCATTTAGGGAAATGAACTAGTAGGTAAAATATCAGAAGTTCCCCAGTCTAGGAAAATGTCATTTAAATTTCAAGGAAATATGTTCTTTGAATTTTAATTCTAACCTTTCAAAAAAAAAAAAAAAAAAAACTTGAAAAGGTTAAAATACTCCATCAAATGCTATAATAAAAGAAGATATAAAATTAGAGACATGAAAGGCCACCCTTTGTTATAAAAAAAATTGGTGTGTTGATAGTACCTCATTCAGATATAACAGAAAACTAATATAGGATTTTTACAGTCTTTTTCATTAAGTACTATTATTCTGCCCACCTAAGTTCATTATATACTATAATAATTAACAAATCTATTACCTGGGTTTATATAAAACCTTGGCTTATTGAAGATCTTTAACACTGCCTCAACTAATTATTAAACTAATTGTTAAAGATCTTTAACACTGCCTCAATTTCATTCCAGTTCTATCTTAGTGCATAAATCAAAAATAAAGATAATAGTTTAATAATTTTTTTCAAAGCCTTTCATCCAGAATTGGTCAGTGGCATACGATTTGATTCAACTTTTTTTCCAAGAAATAAGGAAAAAGACAATAAAAATAAGACCGACAAGGATGTCTTGTCTGTCTCTGTCCCACTCAAAGGTAGAAGAGAAGAGTCTCTATAACTCACGTTGAACAAAGTGGTCACTATATCACCAACAAATTAAACTTTCTAATTCTGGTTTACAAAAGCTGAGTTATAGTCATCTTGACCATGTCTGAGGAAGTTGGAAATACATTTTAATAATTATCTGCTTAGAATGTATGAAAGGAACCTAAAGTTTTCCAAGAATTCTTCAGGATCCTAAAAAAGTGCTACAAGGTCTCCAAGAGTTTGACTAATTCATGAGATGAGCAGTTTTCAATGAAATTAGGCATTGGGGCACCTGGGTGGCTCAGTTAGGCACCTGACTCTTCATTTTGGCTCAGGTCATGATCTCAGGGTTGTGAGATCGAGCCCTGCATCAGGCTGCACACTCAATGCAGTCTGTTTGAGAGTCATCCCCCTTCCCTCTCCCTCTGCTCTTCCATACCCCTCCACCCCATCCTCTCTAAAATAAATAAAATCTTAATAAGAAAAAGAAATTAGGCATTGAGAAGTTAAATCAATAGCAAATATCGACATCTATCAGTTCATCCAATTTATCAACTTCTGAGAGTTCAATGTCCTCTATGTTCCTCCTTGCTCAATTCTTACTCATTTATTTAAGTCACTATCAGCTCTTGCCTGAATTATGCCAGTAACCTTTAACCATCCTTACGTGACCCCACCCAACCTCCATACAGGAACTAGCCAGAACTGCCTGAATACAGAGGTAAAGTTCAAACTTCTAAAAGGGACTTTATAAGGCCCCGTTCTAATATGATCTGTTCATGTTTCCTGGCTTCATCCTTTACCACTACTACACATATTCCCATCCAACATAAATACCAAGAATGTGTATTCTCCCATAAACACACACTAGACTTCAGCCACACTCAGCTGTCTGCAGGCCCCCCAAAAGCAACAGCTGCCCTAAAAGCCTCTGCACTTGCTGCTTCCTCTGACTGGATTGTTCTCTCCGCTCCCATTTTTTGCTGACTTTCACCCATGCTGAAGTCTCATTTTAAATGCTGTGTTCCCTGTGATATCTTCTTTGTCCAATTCCCTCCCTGCTAACCCTGTCTGATGAGCTATAACACCCTGCATTCAGCCTTCCCCTTGCAATTCTCACTCTGAATCATAACTGTCTATTTACCTAACTTTCTGTTATAAGATAAGCTTTCCAAGTGTAGGGGTTGGGGTCTTATTCACTACTATGTCCTCAGTATCTAGCTCAGTGCCTGACCCACAACGGAAACTGAGCAAATCTGTTCAGAGAATGTGCTGTAAAAGATACTCCATTCATAAAGAGGACACAAAGCAGGGCGCCTGGGTGGCTCAGTCCGGTAAGCGCCTGACTCTATTTTGGTTCAGGTCATGATCTCTGGGTCATGAGATCAAGCCCTGAGTCTAGCTCTGTGCTCAGCAGGGACTCTGCTTCAGATTCTCTATCTCTCCCTCTCTCTCCCTGTCCCTCCCCCCACTTGCTTTCTAAGTAAATAAATCTTTAAAAAAATAAAGAGGATACATAGCAATTTTGAAAATCTTTTTTTTTTAAAGATTTTATTTATGTATTTGTTAGAGAGAGAGAGAGAGAGAGAGAGAGAGAGCATGAGCACAGGCAGACAGAGTGGTAGACAGAGGCAGAGGGAGAAGCACGCTCCCCGCTGAGCAAGGAGCCCGATGTGGGTCTCGATCCCAGCACGCTGGGATCATGACCTGAGCCGAAGGCAGCCGCTTAACCAACTGAGCCACCCAGGAGTCCCGCAATTTTGAAAATCTTAATTAAAGAAATAACATACCTGTCTTTCCAACTCTTGTCCTGTGATACCAGCCTCCACATGAGCTGTCAGATTGTTCTCATCAACCCAGAGGATTCGATTCTGTTGCAAAGGAAGAAAAAAAGTCTCATCTCCAACATCTAATCCAAACATTTCATCCAAATGTCTATTGACTTTTTCTGAGGAAATATAACTTCCTAACTCAAGGAAGCAAGTGACAAGACAAAAAACTAGCAAACAGGGTTACCCATGCTACTACACTACCCGTATATCCCAGACTACATAACATGACAGATACAGTAACAAAGGCAGTATATTACACAGGAGTTGGTTTAAAACACAGACTCTGTCTTTATTCAGGGATTAGTTTGAATTAAACTCTACCGCTTACCTTAGCCAAATTATGTAACTAAGTTTAGTGTTTCCTCATTTGTAAAGTGTGAATAGTAACAGTACTCATAAGGCTGGTGTAAGGATTAAATGAGATACTGCACATAAAAATTTAGCATACGGGGGTGCCTGGCTGGTTCATTTGGTGGAGCATGCAGCTCTTGATCTCGGGTTGTGGGTTGGAGCCCCACGTTGGGTGAAGAGATTATTTAAAAATAAAATCTTAAAAAAAAAAAAAAACCACTTAGCATACAAAGTTCCTGGCATTCTGCAAATACTCTCTGCACTACTATTAATAGTTAATAATCATATGTAACTTAAGAATATCAGAAGATGGCCACTGTGAGAGGAGAAAAATTCACCTAAAAAGACATATGAATATACTAAATGGCACTCCTGCTTTGTTTTTAATCCCAAATAGGACCAGGACAGAAACAAAAGCATACCCCTGCCTCCTGTTGAAAAGAAGGAACTGAGTATGAACTGGCTCAACTTACCAAATGTAAGACTGCTCAAAAAATGTTTTTAACATTCTTGGTTAACCTATTTTTTTGTATATATGAATCTTCGTGAATTATTCACTAAATAAATTTTAAATTTATATTAATTTTTATTTAATATTATTTTCAGTATTTATATTTAATATTATTTATTTATATTAGAACTATAAATTATTATACTTTAATATAAAATTTATATTATAACATTGTAATATGAAGCCTATACTATAATACTTGATATTATTTACATTAACTATTTAATATTATTTATATTAAAATTTATATTACTTAATATTTGTTTATATTAATTTTAACTTCAAAATTTAAATTTATTTCTAAATAAATTTTAAATTTTCAAAACAGACTTCTTCCCCCTTCTATCTGGCTGAGCAATCAGATTAACATATACACTCTTCTTCTGGATCCCAGGGAAGCTTTCTTTGCACTTTGATATCTTCGATTTCATGGCAATAACTAACACAGGTAAGTTTAGCTAATAATAAAAAGGAAAGAATACAACAGACAATATAAAAACTGTCTACCTATATTTCAAATTTGCATACAAATAACTGTACTACTTAATTCACAGGATTATGATAAACATCAAATAAGGTGGTATATGTGAATGTATTTTCTGTTTTGTGTTATATAAAACTCTCATTTTAATTATACTCTCACAATAAAACAATAGTAATTTTAATATAACCAAATCAGTCTTTTGGTTCTATAGTCACTAAACAAAAGGACATATTAAACTGAAGTAAAAAGACAGAATTCAGTAATCCATTGGTACCTTATAATAACTTACACACATCTTCTCCTCTAGTAGGCTGGCTCTTAAAGAGATTACGTACTTGTGCTAATTATATACTTTCAATTTACCAGGAGCCCAAACATATTTTTGGTAGGAAAAAAAAAAACTGAAGGAAGCACAGAAAAAAAAAAAAACACCACAACCCTTTATAGGTACTCACAGAAAAGCTCAAAGAAATACATAGAATACCCTATTATATCCAATATACACTACCCAATACAAGTTAACAATAAAACTTTGAGACCAATAGGCCCTAGTATTATTGTATGTATTTAAGAAACACAATAATAAAAAACTGGCATAACTATCATATTCTACACATACTGTATCATAAGTATTCTGTGCAAAATCATGCAGAGACATAGCTTATCAACTCTAAAGCAAATCACAAGTTTAAGTACCACCCATCCACTACAATATTTAAGACAGTTCAATGTTAAAGGCAGTGAATATATAAGGTTTTTCTATAAAATAAATGGTTAAAAACCTGGCATTTAAAATCCTGGCACAGAATTTTAAGCATCTACTCAGTGTAAAAGACTTTTATTTTACATTATCTCACTTAATCTTCACAATTACCTTCTGGATTATTACTGTTTCTATTTTACAAATTTATTAACAGATTTAGTGGTAAATTTGTACACAGTAAAGTATATGTATACAGAAATCCAAACACAGCCAAAGCCTATTACAGAATAGGCTACTCTTAAGTGATCTTCTAAGGAAACCGCCTTTTCTTAAACTCTGGGATAAGGACAAAGGTTAATGAGGAACTTTACAGAAGAATAATCAGGCTGTTACCATCTGAACATCCTGACTAATTTTAGCAACATGTAGAGTGGACAACCAGGTATTATGTGCCTCCTGATGTGATGTGATGTGAGCTAGAAAAACACATCACCATCTACAAGATATCCTTGCTTAAAAAAAAAATTTAAAAGCTATGCCTGAATCTAACCAGACTTTATATCTGACTTTGAGTTTAGAGGACATACAAAGCCTACTGGAAGAGTTAAATGACACCAAGATGAAATGACAGGGAAATTCAAAATATGACACATTTTATACTGCAAATAACCTACATTTTCCCAAAGTCAGTAACATTCAAAAAAGGAGAAAGAAGGGGGTTTCAGATGAAATGAAACAGGGAAACAACCAAAAGCTAACATGGGCCTTGTCTGAATCTCCCTATGAACAAATGAAGTATAAAAGAAAGACAATTTTGAAACAACTATAAAATCTGAATGTGAACTGGATATTAAATGATAAAGAATTCTTTTTATATTTGCCAGAAGAAATAATAATATAGGGAGAAATGCCTTTTAAAAACAGATACATAAGTAATATTTAGATAAGTAGCATAATATCAGGCTTTACTTTTAAAATAGTCAAGAGGACAGTCTATGATGATGGAGGAGTAGAAGACCTTAGTTTCATCCGGTCCCTGGAACTCAGCTAGCTAGCTATCAAATCATTCTGAACACCTGTGAACTCAACCAGAGATCAAAGAAAAGAATAGCTGCAACTCCACAAATAGAAAAGTGACCACTTCCTGTAAGGTAGGAGGTGCAGAGAAGTGAATCCAAGACAATATATGGGAAGATAAACCACAGCAGGAGGGAGAGAGAGCCTATGTAAGCTGGAACCAGGGGGGGATATAGCAATGGAGCACAGAATCAGAACTTTTAGAAGTCTGCTCCAGTAAGGGACATCCCTGCCTGAAAGGTGCTCAGGTGGCGAAGGAGGGTGGAATCCTAGGCAGGACGGGGTGGTCCCAGGATCCCCGGGGTCACAGGAAGACCAGGAGTGCCTGAGTGTGACAGAGTTCCCAGGCATCAGAGTGGGAAAGTCAGCTGCAATAAGCAAGCCCAGGAGTGAGCTCTCAGCTCAGGGACGCCATATACGGCCACCCACGGCACAGTTGGGCAACAGCTCTTTGAGCAGGGACCCAGCAAACAGCAGAACCAGGGAGACCTCCCTCTCTCCGCCAGGAGGACCGGCACAGATGCACACTACAGGAGTCTACAGGGTTTAGAGACTTGAAATGGGGCTGCGTGCCTGATACAGAAACACTTGGTTACAGGACGGAGACCAGGGAGACAGGAATAATTGGCTGCTTTTCCCTGAGGGTGCACTGCGGAGTGGGGCCCCAGGCTTTCAGCTCCAGGGCAAGGGATTGGAAGGCTGCCATTCTCATTCTCATCCTCTAAAGTGGCAGGAAAAGCCTTCAGGGAACAAAAAGCCACATAGAGCAATCCGGAGCTGCTTACTTAGCCTGGCCCCCTGGCAAGGGTGGTGAAATTCCACTGGGGCAAATACACCTGAGAATCAATGCAACAGGCTTCTCTCCCAGAAGATCTGCAAGAACATCCAGCCAACACCAAGTTTATCAATCACACAGAAATGTAAAACTCCAGCACTAGGGGAAAATAGTATACAGACTTCATGTTTTTTTTTTCCCACAATTCTTTAGTCTTTCAATTTTTTTTCTTTTTCCGTTTTCAACCAATTTCTTGTTTTATCAACTCTTTCTTTAAAATCTTTTTTAAATTTTCATTTGTACAGTTAAACTCTATCCTTTCATTGTATTTTATTTATTTATATATATATATATGTATATATATATATATATATATATATATATATATATATATGTTTTTCTTTCTTTATGATTTTGAGATATAGTTTTTTTAACAAACCAACCAAAATACACTCAGGATATAGTGTACTGCTCTGTTCTGTTCACCTGTCTGTTTATATTCATTTTTTCTTTTTTGTCTTTTAATTTTCATCTTCACATTTACATTCTATCCTTTCCTTGCATTTAATTTTATTTTCATACATATACAAATATTTATTTCTTTACAATTTTGGGATCTACTTTTCTAACAAACAGACCAAAATACACACATGATCCGGGCTATTGCTCTGTCTGTTCACCTGTCTGATTACATTCTTTTTTTCTTTTTTTTCGGTTTCAGGTATCTTCTGATTTGTTTAGTGTATATTTCTCTGGGGTCATTGTTGCCATTTTAGTATTTTGTTCTCTCATTCATCTATTCTTCTCTGGGCAGAAGGACAAGATGGAAAAACTCACCTCTACAAAGAGAACAAGAGGCAGTACTGACTGCCAGGGTCCTAATCAGTATGGTTATAAGTAAGATGTCAGAACTAGAGCTCAAATTAACAATTATGAAGATACTAGTGGGGCTTGAAAAAAAGCACAGAAGACACTAGAGAATGCATTCCTGGAGAAAAAAAAAGAACCAAAATCTAATCAAGTCAAAATCAAAAGGGCTATTAATGAGATATAATCAAAATGGGGGCTCTAACTGCAGGTTAAATGAAGCAGAGGAAAAAATCAGTGATATAGAAGACAAAATGATGGAGAACAAAAC